GTGTCAAATGAATTATATCATCTTAAGTGAATGAAGTTGTAGATTTCACAGGGTTAAATCATGCATTCCCTTTAAGTAACTTAAACTGCCCGTGAACTTCTGTGGTATATGTAAGCTTTGGAAACAATATCAGGAATAAATGCAAGGGTTTCATAAGAACTCCCAGAATATCTGAAAATAGACAAAACAAAGAATAACAGGCAAAAATTTGGGAAATTATATTTTAAAATGGATGCAGAAACTGTTTGTAGAAACTGATCCATTGAAATGAATTGTGAAATAGAATTTTTATCTAGAGGCAGAAAATATATATTTAAAATTAAATGTACATGTGCATTTTCAACAAGCATTCAATTAATTCAATTAGCCAACTACTAATGCTTTGTTATTATACTAATAAGTCTGTGTATTTAGAATGCAAACACAATGTATAGTCTATGAGAAAATATGCATGATTATTTTGAATACAGTAATATCTGTAAAAATATAAGATATTCATATTTGTCTCTGGAAACATTCTAAAAAACTTTGAATTTTCCATCTGGTCTAAATCATGTTTTCTAGAAATAATTATCAATACACTGTATACAGGGTGTCCATAAAGTCTACAATTACAATACACAGTCTGTGTAAACTGGTAAAGTAGAGACTTGATGGACACCCTGTACATTTTACGTCTGTAAGAAAGTCAAGTCATACTCCAATTCATTCCTGCTATAACATCACATGTACCAGGTATATGAGACCATGGTCTGTAAATGTTCAACATTTTTCAACAATGTTGATAGAGAACAACACAACTTTATATTGAATGTCTACTTTTTATTAAACTTTTTTTTTTAATTACTCATCAAGATATTTCAATCTTGTATATTCATCCCTTGTGTGAGTATTGCTCAATTTATTTGGACGACACTACCAAATTCTTGTAGTACATGTAGTCATATCATTCTCATTTCATTTCACCACCAAGAAGTGGTGACATATTGCAACAGTCACCACGTTATGTGACTTATGGTAGCCATTTGCAATAACTTACCGCTCAAGACATTTTGTCATCCAGTCATGTTGACGCTTTGTCTTTTGCACAATATATTCACTGTACCTTATATACATGTAACACTGGATTTAAGGTATTCATCATAACTGCCTTAAAACAGTTTTCAACTTGAATCTGTAAATAACAGCATGTAAAAATGTATTTAGGTTTAACATCTAGAAAATATAAAATTGATTGAATCAACCTTTGTATTTTGTTCTTTTTTATTATTAATTTAGAATGTACAAGTACTTGTTGAATAGCCTATCACATTGTTTCTGTTGCCCATTTATAAGTTTTGAAGCATAACTGAAACTCAGAAGAGATGTAACAAAAGTTTTTACCCAATAACAAATATAAGTGAGTTATAAGATCAATTCAAATCAAGGGCATCTCTGGGTTTTTGCAACCTCTTTTACTCAAACTCACAATTTTTCAGTAGCTCTAACTTCATTACTTACACCATCTTGGAAGTCAAATATGTATGGGCGCAGCATATTTTAATTTATAAGGGCTAAATCCTATTTGTGTTAAAGGGGTGGTCTCCAATATCTGCCTTTTCCTTGCAATCTGGTTCATAACACCCCAGTCACATTTGTCGCACGGCGGCCGTAAGTCGACCGCACAACAATTAAATCGGTGAATTTCTGCGGCGAGCGTAGGAAAACTAAGGGCGCCTTGCGGTCTCCGTACGGCGCATTCAGATTTTTACAGGCCGCAGGGAAGGCGTAGAAATGATAAAGCCTTCACTAGGCTATTCTCTCTACACCGTGCCTAATTTTGAGTAGCGAGTGTAAATTCTTTTCGGAAACATGATTATGTTTTCCCTGTAATATGAATCGGAGATATCAGAGAAAATATGGATAGTCTAAAATATAAATTTTGTGTTTTTGAACATCCCGGGTTGAACATGCGGAAATATCTTGAACACTTTGAAACTGAAGTACAGTTCCTTAATACATGTAGGTCGTTCAGTTTTCTTGTTTTTGTTCTACATAACACTAGTGTTTAATAGCCATGCGTAATTATTAATAACCGTAATCAGATTATTTCAAGCGTCGAAATAGCTTACTAAGTTTTCCTCGACGTATCTACACAAACCTATTCACTTACCGTTATATTGAGCGATCTAGATGCGTCAATTATAATTGTTTTCACTCATCGGCTTTAGTGGCCCGCGATTCCCTTTATTTCATTCATATGACACGCAATTGATATATTGGCAACAAATCAAATGTCCTAAATGATTCTTCTTCATTTTGGAATGTTTCTCCTACCCGATATTCAAGAAGTGTCTTAAATATTATACTTTACATTGATCACGATTCTTGTACTTTCTGTCTTTACGACTCCCGTTCACATTTGCAAGAGTTGTTGATTGCATTGCCTTGATCGTTGGTCGAACTTCGATTCCAACTTAATCAGATTAATCAATATTAAGAAATGTAATTTCATGTTTATCCAAGCAAATAATTGTAACAACTACATTATTTTTTAGCAGTTTTGACACCTAAGCAGGGTAGCCTAGTGGCGTAGACTGAGGCTACTTTGCGGTTGAACGTCGTGGGATACGGAGGTCCCGCGTTCGAGCCCCGGGTACGGAGTTGTTGATCATTGTCACTACGGACACCCGGTCCGAAGGTCCAACCGTTTACCGGCCCTTGGCATGGGTTGGTTCTCTGGCCGCTCTTGCCGGAGACAGATTGTGAGACTGTGGTTGGTTCCTCCACTAACGTGCTTTAGTAAACTCCGGAAGTCATATAGTATGGTAGCGGGCCCCCACCAAGGGCAGTAGTGGAACGACGCGAATCGGTCCCAGTATGGTTGCCTTGCAACTGAAGAGACTCGAGGAAATCATGCCATTCGCAGTGACCCAGAAAAGACTTTTGCTTCTTAATATTACTTGCAATATCCGTAGCATTTGGCACAGTCGGTTCCCACGCTCTATCATTTTGTGCGGCCATCATAAGATAAGGAGGTACGGTTGATTGGACCATGGGGTTTCAACAGAGTCAAGAAATTGGCATGGATACTGGACACTCGCACGGTGAATTCTAAATTTCTGTTGATAAATAATACTTTTTTCATTTTATTTACATCGGGACAATTTATAAATGTTATTCATAGTGCTAGGATGTAATATCAAATGTAAAGTGATCGTGAAACATTGACAAATAATGATTCAATCTTGTTGAGCCACTTGATTTCTACGGGGACCTCAGAAATAAACAAATATTACACCCCAGTCACATTTCCTACGGCGACCTTGCGGTCTATCATTTCTGCGGCCAGTAGCTTTTCTACGCTCGCCGCAGAATTTCCGCGCTCTCATACTTTTGCAGTCACATTTCCCACGGCAGCCGCACGGTGAATTTTAAATTTCTGTTGATAAATAATACTTTTTTCATTTTATTTACATCGGGACAATTTATAAATGTTATTCATAGTGCTAGGATGTAATATCAAATGTAAAGTGATCGTGAAACATTGACAAATAATGATTCAATCTTGTTGAGCCAGTTGATTTCTACGGGGACCTCAGAAATAAACAAATATTACACCCCAGTCACATTTCCTACGGCGACCTTGCGGTCTATCATTTCTGCGGCCAGTAGCTTTTCTACGCTCGCCGCAGAATTTCTGCGCTCTCATACTTTTGCAATCACATTTCCCACGGCAGCCGCACGGTGAATTTTAAATTTCTGTTGATAAATAATACTTTTTTTCATTTTATTTACATCGGGACAATTTATAAATGTTATTCATAGCGCTAGGAAGTAATATCAAATGAAAAGTGATCGTGAAACATTGACAAATAATGATTCAATCTTGTTGAGCCAGTTGATTTCTACGGGGACCTCAGAAATGAACAAATATTATAACTCCGAGTTATAATTTCTACGGCGACCCTGCGGCCTGTAAAAAACTGGATACGCCGTACGGAGGCCGCAAGGCGAGCGTATTTTTCCTACGCTCGCCGCAGAAATACACTGATTTAATTGATCTGCGGTCGACGCACGGCCTCCGTACGACAAATGTGACTGGGGTGTAAGATATACAAGAGAGTAGATCACTAATAAGGTTTAGCTGCAGACTCCTTCTCAAAGCTATCTATGGAGTTACTTGCATACAGCTAGGAGTATTCAATTTTTAGGTGTTTTTCTCTCACGTTTAAAAAATTATACTCCACTATTAACTTTCATTAGAAGGGGGAGGGGGGCTAAGACCGAACTAAATTAATTACATTATTTTATGGACTATGAAATATTGACCCAGCCTCTTAGACTCCACTATTCAGGGTGCATGACTCGGGTTGAAAATGTCATCACCACAATTTAATATTGGCATCCAGTCCATTACCCAATGGGTAACTTGGTTTTAAAGTTCATTGCCAGTCTTTGCAGTCTTAATGGAGGAGATAAAAATTTCCATAGTCATCTAATAACGTGTATTGTTATATACCTCGACATATGTATTCTAGATGCTCATTGGCTTATTCATGGTCACATGATATGAAATAGATGAACTAATTCCCTGCAAAGTTCTAAATTCCTGCTATCAGGGAAGAAGAAATGTACTAATCACCAGTTAGGCCATGTGACCAGTCATTAGTATGTTTTATCTTCCCTGATAGCGGAGATTATAGGAGTTGAAAGGCAAAATACCTTTAAATGCCAATAAGAACCTGTCAACATTGAATGTTGAAATGAAGAGACTTCTCATTTTGTTTTTGTTTACAGAGTACATATGGGGTATACAATAAAAGAAATAGCGACTGCCACATTTTCGGGAAATAGTGTAAAAAAATTTCCCTCAAGAATATCCTGTCCACTGTCCTCGGCCTGCAGCCTCGGGAACATGTCAGTGGACAGGATATTCCCTTGGGAAAAATATTTTACTCTATTTTCCTCAATGGCAGTCACTATTTGTATATCATCACACTATTAACACAAACACTGCCTAATTTTCACAAAATATATTTGAAAGGTTACTATTGTAAGAGATGCTGTCCAATTACCAATAGTTGAGGAAAAATAAATATAATTTCATTATGGTTTCACCCCCTACCCTCATATCACGAAACTTTAAATTGTCGATTTGTCTTTAACTTGAATATCATATAATACTCTCCCTAAAGAAACCATCATTTACCCCCTCCCTCCCTAATGAAACTAACTTTATTATTCCACAGCTGCTGATAATGGACAACATCCTTAAAGTATCACAGTTGATATTTGCTATTTACTAGAGATCATTTAATGTTCCATTTAACTATTCTACAACAGTCTTATTAGAAATTGAAAATCTTATTAGAAATAATCATTACTAATACATTTGTGGTTAAATACATGATACAATATGGGACAGCGTGGCCCTCTGAAATAATAATCTATACTTGTACATGGTACAAGGTTAAATATTCAACAACATTAAATTCATATTTCATATGCATATAGGTTACGTAAATAGAGAAATTCCTATTCTATATTTGTGCAAAAATGATAATTTGACTTATTTTAAAGCCAACAAAAGAGTAAAGAATGGCAACTCCAAGGAGTAGCTAATCCCAATAATAAAAATACAATAAAGCTTGTAAAGTTGAACTGTTGGATACCTCTGTTAATGGAACACCTCCATAAGTGGAACACAGTTCCCTTCAGAGTCCAGTTGTCTATTAACGAAATGTAAAATGAACCTCTGTAAGAACACCTGCAGAAGGCTATTTTGAAGTACCAAAGATGCTTACACAGGTTTTACAAAGGTTTTAAGACAGTCTTTTACATTTTAAGGCATGGAGACAAATTATAAAGTATTTTCTACCAATATTTAACGGTTACTTTGATTTCAAACATACTGCTTTGATTTTTGTTAACAATTCCCGCCATTTTAAAAAACAATAAATACAACTAATTCAATTTTCCATTTAAATATGAATGAAAATTTCAACGGACAGATGGCTCTACAACTCTTATATCCCTATAAAGCTTCATTCACATATATATACAGATTTGAACATCTTACTAGTTAACAAAAGAAAATCTAGTTTTTCTAACAATATGTTCGACTAAAACAATTCACGGCTGGTGAATCCAAATGATGAAACCATGGCAACCAAAATAAATTTTCTCTTGGCAAAAAAACAATGATATGTCAAGTTCACAGACTTTAGATATTTAGTACTAGATATTACATAGATAGTTAGTACTACCTGGTGTTTAGATATTAGAACTATCAAGTACTTATATACTTAGTACTAGATAGCACTGAGACACTTAGTACTTGGTATTACCAATATACTAGATATAAAACTAGTGCTACATTTATGCTTTAAACCGCTGCATCTATCTCCTGTAACACATCACTAATATCAGTATCTTCAACTATGTCTTTCACTTTATCAGTGTTCTCTTTTATACCCGTGTCTGCTGATATATCATTTCCTAATAAGTCATCTTCATTTAATATGTCATCATTTACATCATCATTATTGTCCATATTGTCATCTTTAAGAAGGTCATCTTCATTTATGCCATTTTCATCTTTATGATCATTAAGATCATCTGTTTTATTTGTGTCATCCTTTGATTCAGTATTACCTTCAAGTTCACTGTCTTTTTTGTCTTCATCTTTACTTTCTATAGTATTCTCACTTTCTTTTTCTACACGATCAGCTTCTATCTGATTAATTTTATTTTTAAGTGCTTGAACTTCCTTCTCAATTCTCTCTTCTGATTCTGGTGACCTTTTTGGCGAGTCCACAGATTCCAAAAATAAAATCTCATCATTGTCGTCATCATCGTCTGCAGGATTGTAAGCCAAGCAATCATCATCGTGAAGGTTATCGTCTGTTCCACATGTACAGATCTTTTGAGTCATCTTCTTGTTGAGTCGTTTAAGATCCACTTGTGCAAGGGATTGATCATCTTCTCCACTGTAGTCAGATTCGGAAGAATAAACACTTTCATCCAGATAGGAGTCATCATCAGAGTAGTCATTCTGAATTTCCTCCTCATCGTCACTCTCTGTGATGTCAAAAGTCTCAACCCCATCAATTTTTGTCATATTCTTGGGGATACGAGGTTGTCTAGGTGGGGTAATACCTATCTGATTGGCTGGGACAAGTACAATCTCATCCCCATGTCTAACAGGAACAAACCCCTTTGGAACAGAAATGGCTCCGCCTTGCATGGTTGCACCCTCGGGGAGATCTTTGATGTAGGGAGCCCTTGTCGCCTGTGACCCTGGCGAGGACACTACAAGTCCATGTTGGATACCTTCAGGGGGTGGAGGTAAAGCAGTCTTTCTGGCTGCAGGTGTTTCATCATTCTCCTCATCTGATAACTCAATCACTTCACAATCACTTTCATCTCCTTTTGAGTCTGTTTTAGGTTGATTTTCATTGTCCTCATCTTCTGCAAGATCCTTCACATCACCAACTTTATCTCCTAGCTTTTCAATAATAGATTTCAATCTACTATCCTCCTTTGCTTTTAATTTAGGGTCAGTTTTATTTGCCTCATCATCTGACAAACCTAGTAACTCATCTTCATTAAGCTCATCATCGTCTTCATCATCACTATTATCTATCAACATTTTTACTTCACCAATATCAACAGACTTCATTTTAGCACTTCTCTGACTGAGTTCATCAGAATCTATACACAGTTGGCTTTGTAGTTCTATGGACTCTTCCGCAGATAGTACATGACCTTGGGAGTCGTCTGCTTCATTGTCTATTACATTATCACCTGCCTGCCCTCTATTGGAGGTTTGGGAGTCTGATGTTTGACTGTCCATCTTTTCTTGAGAACCTGAAAGATTATGAAACATTGTGATGATATTGCACTATCGTGTTGCACTACTGAACTGAAAATTCAAGAAGGAAGACGAATATTTTTCTGAAGATAAAAGGTACTTTTTTTAGAACTTTCAGCAGCTTAAAGCAGCTGACTTGATGAGAGATCTTTGGATGACATGTGGTTCTGTAATAATTCAATACTTTACCTCATTTCATCTTAACTGAAATCAATTGATCAAAACCAAACAAACAGATAACCTAAACTAAGACTTCATTATTAATTCTAAGTTCCTTTGCACACTCTGTGATGACATTAACATATTGCCTAACTAACTGTCATTATCAAATGTGATTTTACATTTAATTTATATTGGATCAGTTACTATGATGCAATAATGATCATTATCAACTGTCCAGGCTAGGCCACGGGTACTTTTTTTGAGATATTGACATTGAAGAGTGTGCTGCAATTCCTTGTATAATGCAGTTCAACATCATGAAATGTGCCTGGTCAATAGATGAAATCATAAACACAATATTAATATAATAATTTCAATACATAAACTAGATATCTACTGTACAGTCCGAAGTAAAGGCTGGACTTCAGTAAATGTTTTCTGACAGATGTGTGTCAATTACCTTCAGGGGTATCAGGAGTATCTTCTGTCTTTTGTCTCTTCTTAGGTGTAAGTCCGCTGAGCTCTCCAAGCAGAGAGTCAGGCTGAGAGTCGTCTGCTGGAGTGTCTAAAGCAATCACATCATACAACAATGTAATAATAGAAACAGTGTTACTGAGCATAACAATTTGGCAAATTTTCTCAAAATAGTTGATTAGGCCTATATCAGGTTAATGATAAAATGACCATTTACGCTTTAACCAATCATAATCAAAGTTACCTTCACTCCTTTGTCTCCGTCGTTTCAGTCTCAATGGTACATGCTCTGATCCGTCACCTGCCCCACCATGAGAGTGTGCCGAGTGGACCATGTCCAAGAACCCATTCAGTCTGTTTTGAGTCTAAAGATGTCAAATTTTCATTTATATACCTTCATCAAAGTATTTTTATAGGATAAGCAACACTGACATAAAATGTAAGCGTCAAAACAAGGCACACAGTTAACAATATCATGTGTTAAAATAAAAAATGGCTGCTGCCAAGCTGTTTATCTGAAAATGTGCAAACAGAACTTTTTCTAGGTTTTCAATATGAAGGATTACAAGATGGTCCATGTACTAACCTCTTGAAATTTCTGCCCAGGCGGGACTACATTCAAGTATGCCCTGTGAGGTTTCAGGTACGTCACAAAGTCCCGAATCTCTGAGTACGAAGAATGGAAAGAATAACAAACTCTATGGCAGCCTTTCTTTGGTGAAGGACGGAAGAAATTTTTATCATATCCATGATTCCTTGCAAAGTACATGGTTGATGGAAGTATGGTACGTGCTTGGAGCGAGGAACCCTCTAGCATTATGGGACTGTACCCGCAAGGAAGGGGTGACTCTTTACTATGATTGGCCTGTAATCAAAACATATATATATATAGAGAGTACATGTATTAACAACTATGATTTTGTCCAACTTGCTCTCTATTCTACATTCACATAGTGGCCATTGACAGAAAATCCATCAGAATAAAAGTAAACTGATCTAAAACAATTTATTTAAACAATAGTTTTAAAAGAATAACCCATGACCCGTTCTGCCATACTCAAATACTATTCTCATTTAATTTCACTATTTGTATTTTTCATTCATTGAATCAATTATCATCCTTCAAAATTCATAATTCAAATGGTTCTCCAAAGTAATACCAATGATAAGAGGGAAAAAATATGATTAAACTCAGAATATCTGCGATACATTTAAGAAATTGAGCCTACATACCCCCCAAGTGCAGGCATGTATCTGTGTCTCTGAGGGGTCTGTGGTTACATGCTGAGCTATCTCATCTGAACATTTACAGTACATCTGGTACTTTTTCTCATCTACGTGGATCTAGAATTACATGGATAGTGGTGTAAAATTATATGGATATTGGTGAGAAGATAACATGGATATAGGTGAGAAGATAACATGGATATTGGTGAGAAGATAACATGGATATTGGTGAGAAGATAACATGGAAATAGGTAAGATAACAAGGATATTAGTGAGAAGATAACATGGATATAGGTGAGAAGATAACATGGATATTGGTGAGAAGGTAACATGGATATTGTTGAGAAGATAACATGGACATTGGTTAGGAAATGAAATGGTCAGTAAAAATAACATGGATACTTTGTTCAGTGAAATATATTCATATCAGCTATGAAATTGTAAATGTAATATAATTACTTGCATTGTGTCATTACCTTTGTTTTAAAGTGTTTTGCTAGTTCAATCATGAGGTATTCATATCCTATGTAAGCCTTAGTGCGAAGAATGATCATGTTACTCCTACTTTCAGCCAACCACGACTCAGCAATCTCAAACGCATGGTCCCTACTCTCTTCTCTACTTGGTATGTGAACGACCTCTGGTAGAAGGAACGTTGTATCTAAGTACATACTCTTAATCTCCTTTGTGCTGAAAGACACAAGACAGTGATTTATGATATCGAAGCCAAATCCACTGGAATGCGACTTGACCCATTTGTTGAGAAATGTGGCATATTCAGATGTTGTACATGTCACTATTGTATTGTACTATTGTAACATATAAAATATCTGAATTGGTCAGTTTTTTCTACAGACGTGGAGACCATGACCAATTGTTCCTCCAATTTGGCGCTGGACTGACAGAAAAATTAAGCAAATCACAGTCCATTGCTGTGACTTCAATATCATAAATCATGATGCAAGGGAAATATCACTAAATGTGGCCGATTAGTTTACTGAAAAATCAAAGGAACTCATATAGTTTACTCCACACTCAATTTCCTCAACCTTGACAATCAATATTAGTAAATTCCTCATATAGAAAGTAAATATGCACTTCTTGAATATTTTATGACTACATTTTAATCTTCCAATAAACACAATGTTAATTCTTGATTGAATAATTTTGAGCCTCAGCTTATTCTAATCTTTGGGATTTTGCAAATATTGCCCAGCACTATGCATTATGAGACTACTCACTGTCCAGTTGGCTCTGAATGGAGCTGTTTCATCCTAGCTGCATCTCCAACTGCAAGTCTAAAGTCACCAGTGTACAGGACACAGCCCTCTGAACCCTCAAACAGAAACCTGCAACAGAACATGAACATTTTAAATAAAATAATTAATCTTCCTTTGTAAACTAAATTTTTTTGCATGAAACTACATTTTGGTTTTCAGTTTGACAATAATGTTAATTGTAACCTAGTCAAACTTTAATATTGTATTATTGTATGTATAATATATATATGAAATAAATGATTATTAAAAAAAACATTTCCAAGTACAGTGAAACCTGTCTTATCCGAATGCCTCTGGCACCAGCTTAAAGTGTTTGGATCAGCGGGTGTTCACATTTTTATGTTTTTTTAACAATCAATGGAAGATGACAAATTTGGGACCAGAAAAATGGTTCATATTGAGAGGTGTTCAGATTAGAGAGGTGTTCGGATTTACAGGTTTTACTGTCATGGGGTAGCGCTATTTTTCTAAGTAGTACGCCACCACGGGAACAAGAGTTGAGCGAAGCAAAAAACGAGCATTTAGGGGAGTCTGGGGGGTTGTCCCCCAGGAAAATTTTGGAATTTGGTTGTATTTCGAGTGAATTTGCAACCATCCGGTACGCCTGTGCGAACCCACCGTACCAGGCGCTATGCCTATGACTGTCATTATATTCGGAGGCCAAAAGGCCAACTTCTGTTAACATAAAAAGATTCAGCATTACTCAGAAAATTTTGAGTCCAACACATGACCATATTATACACAAACTTCAACAAATATGCAATTCAGGATACAATACATGTAACTCATAGCTACTCACATGACAGACCCCATACAATGGCCAGCAGGTAGTAATGTCACACAGAAGGATTGAGCCTGGAACAATAATTCAAATATTATCACAGTGTATAGTTTTCATACATTTACAACAGTGCAGTTAACATGAAGAAATATCCTGTTATGGCGGAAACATCCTGTTATGTCAGAAACATCCTGTTGTTATGTCGGAAACATCCTGTTATGTTGGTGTATGTGGACTGTTTCAGTTATTGCATCTTATCATGAAGAACTATAGTTTCAATTATAACTACACATTTTCATTGCACAAATTTCTTTACATACAAAGTAGAAAGTAACTTTAGATCTACCTTATTGGTTGTGTCATCAGCAGTGGGTAGTGTGGTCTCTATAGTCGTCTGCTCTTGCATGGGTAGCGCCACCTACAGTGCATAAAACATGAGATTATTACTGTATATCATGGTTATCATCCATATACAGTACAATACAATTTGTCAAATGTTTAAATGAATCTTACATCCCCTAATCTATTAATTTTTTGTATCAACCATATAATCTTCATTCAAATGTTTAAATGAACCTTACATCCCTTAATCTATTAATATTTTGTATCAACCATATAATCTTCATTCCAAACTACTGGTATACAGTAGATTTGGAAGTTCTTACGATTGATTTGCTGAGTCTGCTGTAGCGATCATCGGCAAGCAGAAGGTCTTTGGTGACAGCGGAGCAATACAACTTGATGTCAGGGCTACAAAACAGCATATAAATACAACTTAAAGTCAGAGCTACAAAACAGCATATAAATACAACTTAATGTCAGGGCTAAGGGCTACATAACAACATACTATAAATACAACTTGATGTCAGGGCTACAAAACAGGATATAAATACAACTTGATGTCAGGGCTAAGGGCTACATAACAACATACTATAAATACAACTTGATGTCAGGGCTACAAAACAGCATATAAATACAACTTGATGTCAGGGCTAAGGGCTACATAACAACATACTATAAATACAACTTGATGTCAGGGCTACAAAACAGCATATAAATACAACTTGATGTCAGGGCTAAGGGCTACATAACAACATATTATAAATACAACTTGATGTCAGGGCTACAAAACAGGATATAAATACAACTTGATGACAGGGCTACAAAACAGCATATAAATGCATCAGAGAAGAAAACAAAAAAACTCAGAAATTGGCTTATATTGATCAAGATTCAATATCATGGTATATAACTCTGATCTCCTGGTCAGGATATTTGTATATATCAGTTTCATACCTTCGTCAATATTCAATCCCTCCCAATACATGTTTATATGGCACAAAATTAATAATGTTCGCAAAATGAGCAATCATAAAAATGGATGGATGGAACACATAGTTATAAACAAATATGTTGAAAACCAAACAGAGTGGGCAAAAACAAGACCAAAATTTTCATTAGAATCTGAGTCTCCAATAAATGTTATCTAAAATAATTTATAATTGTAAATGCTAGTATTTCATATCACAAGAATTATTTTCATTCATACCTTGACTCAAGTCTTTGAGCAAATGCATCATTTCCTAACCCAACAGTATGATCTGGAATATAAAAAGCAACCATATTCAACCATGTTGGGATAATCCATAGTAACAAGTACCTTCCCTTAAGTGCAGGAAGATATCCTACTTTCAGGAATTAATAACTCATTTTAAATACAATCTTAATCTTTCACATATGCATAAAGAGTGCACCAATGTACATAGAAAAGAGTGTGGACATGTTTTGATGTAGACCGTATGAATAAGTTACAATTTATTCCTGAAAATAACATGTGACTCCAATGAGGACTGCACAAAAGTTCTGAATGTATATTGTACATGTCTCGCTTCATCAGTAATTCCCACAGGACAGAACATAAGGTAGACAAACTGACTAGTCAGTCCTGGGTAGTCAGTCTGGAGGGGCGTAGCCAGCAATTGTCAATGGGGGTATGATTTTTTCGGGTTTGTATCATTGCACTCAAAGAGAGCCCCAAATATGGGGGTACAGGGGTTCATCCCCGGAAGTTGTATATGGTGCATTCCACGGGCTCTCTTGAAAGCCCATGTACATTCTAAGCATTTCAAACTCTCACTATGTTTTTTCAACAAATTTTATAAAATTGCTTTTTCTTTTTTTGGAGGGGTGGGAGGTGTGATCGCACCTATCACACTTCCCCTGCCTGCACCCATAGTCTGTCCGATACAGACGAAAGGCCCATGGTAAGGTCAGGGTGCATGTTCGAAATTTTGATGCAATCCTCAATTGAGTCACATGTTATTTTTCAAATATGAATCACTCCCTCCTCACATTATCTATTTCTTTCGGTTTTGCACATAAGTGCATTATGTGCCTAGAAAAGACTGGTGAGAAAAAATTCCGAACAGCAAAAAATAATGTCTTATTGTGACACTTCTTGACTTATTTAAATGCACAGGGACTACTTTGGATGTTCTCAATGTTTATTTACTCTAATAAATGGAGAGAATGCTGTGAAATTGAATTAATTTGTCATTTGAAAACTGAAAAATCAATCAAAAAATACCTGCATGGTTGTGACTTAGAAAATACACCGTGCTCTTCAAATTTGACCCATCAAAACGATCTATTGAAACAAATTTGTATTCTAGCATATGTCCACCAAACGTCGACATTTTAATGGCTTCAATGTAGCAGTAAACAACATAAACGTAAAGAAATATTTTCAAACTATTTCTTCCGGAAGTGCAACCATGATGATTACCCAGTGTTCAATTTGGCGGGAAATATTGAAAGCTTGTTCTTGATTGGACAATCGTTCAAATTACGTCATCATTTTAGGGAATTCCCCATTCATAGTAAGGAAACAAGATGTTGTAAGCAGGAGTAGTTCGTTAGTTATTTCCTCGGTTTTGCTATCTTACACTTATTTCGAACAATGGTAAGTATATTATATTGAACATTCAATTTATCATTAAGACTTTTGCTATAAGATCTATGTAAAGTCGTTTTGTGAACTTCTACATGAGTTGAAGTAAATATTCGGTCATGATTTTTAACCATGTGTTCAGTGTTAGTATGTATCCAACAGACCGAATATAATATTCGGTCTGTTATGATTGATATATTTCCTGTGGAAATCTCGGTGATATTTTTTGCACATAAATTTCTCGTTTATTACAAGAATGTTCACCTTGAAAATTGGTGAATATGTTGAAGAGATGTTCATCTTAAACTAGAGTCCATTTCACTGCTTCAGTTCGTCAGTAGAACGGCAAAAATAAGAAATTCGGAGACTATTGTGCAATAATATATGGAAAAGTATATTCATAATGTACATGAATGACATTTGTATATTTCAGATTTTTTAGTTTTTTGTGCAATAAGCCTGTGCCGTCTTGTAATTTGAAGAATTTCAGCCATGTTAATCTTATTGGAAATAGCATGGCAGAGAAACATCCAAATATAAGAGGCCACACACTTTATAAGCCAAACTAGAAGCAATCCAAGATATACAAATGTCATTCATGTACATTATGAATATACTTTTCCATATATTATTGCACAATGGTCTCCCAATTTCTTATTTTTGCCGTTCTACTGACGAACTGAAGCAGTGAAATGGACTCTAGAAGCAAAAATATTTGTATAAGGCGGGTACAAGTTGATATAAAATAATGAAATGTTCAGACTCACCAAAACTTCAGGATGTGTTTATAAGTACATCGCGAAATCAATGTCAAGGACGTTTGAGTTCACGAGATCCAAACGAGATATGCAAATTTTGAACTTTGACAACACATGACCACTTGATTACCTCGGCCTTCTTCATGAATATTTCCGCTCTATTTACTATAAATGAAGAAAATTAATCGGGATAATGATAATAAATGACTAGATCTAATAAATTCCCGCACAAATGGAATTTATCAACACGCTTCCGTCCGCTCCACGTGTTATTTGTTTACAAATAGACTGACGTCACTGGCTAAATCTCGTTTATCGTGAGAATTGGCATTGCCAAAATGGCTTGACCTAATCAATGGCTTCGCTACAAGAAGCGTCTGTACATTTTATGAATATCTTCAGTAAGAGGACAATATACGAAAAAATAATATTGTAAGTACTTTATAAGGTAATCATTTTATCATTTAACAAACTTATTTGTAACATTTATACAACACCACATTTTACAATAGGTGACTTACAGTCTGAATATTTATTCAGACGAAGGATACAGTCTATGTTCAGTGTTGTGAGTGAGATTTGAAGTTTTCTTCATTGTGGACTTGCTATTTGTCATTATGATCATCACTGGTCCACAGTAGGATACCACTTTATTTTGTACAAGAAAATAATATGGGCATGTATAACAGGGGCGTAGACAGCTTTCAGTCATTGGGGTGCGATTGCCCTAAAAAATTCGGTTTTCAGTCAGGGGGGTTGGACTTTGGCATAAACAAGCCAAAAAATCAAATTTGTTTTGAATTTTACAAAAATTGATGCAACTTCCTTTAAAATTGAGCTAGAAGCGATCACATCCATCGCACCCACCTGGCTACGCCTATGTATAAATATTTCCATGAACATGTCCCTAATCATGGTTACCATGGTATATTGATGAGGATACTCTCAAGCTACTCTTTAACCTCTTGAATACCCAGAGTGACGGATATATCCGTCACAAATGAAATAAGACTGGTGCCCAGAGGGACGAGAAAATCCGTCACAAAATTTTTCACAAAAATTGCTCTCATTTGAACAATTTTCATCCAATTTACACAAAAATTGTTTTAAAACGTGTAGAAATGATCTCTGCCGTCCAATTTTTCTAAGCTGAGCATCTAAAGTTGTATAGGTATGTAATAAAATGTCAAAAGGTGGCAAAAAATGTAAAATTCTCTGGTTTCATGCCAATTTTAGAGCCTGGGATTCAAGAGGTTAATGGCCTTGTTTTTCCAATCTTGGAGTATGGGAACTCAGTTTACTCAGCAACTCAGCAACTAGACGGTCGGTTTGGATATTGGGTTCATCCCTCGTGAGATATGCACATCTACCTGCGGTCCCTACGGTCCCTCAGGTAGATATGCATATCTCCCTTTGGATAAACCCCATATCCAACACCTCCCAGTACATAACCCTTATATATTTTTCGACTATAAGATGTACAAATGATATAACATTTATCAGATCAATTTGAATGTTTGAATTTAAAGGTAATAGCTGTTTGCTATCTTTAAAAGAAATGAAAAAATATACTGATATCTATACCTTTGACATAATGCTCTAATATCATTAATGTCTGCACCACAGAGCACGTTACAAAATATAAAAAATGATTAGACCTTGGCTAATGAACCCTTTATAGGTTTTATGGATGGTAAGTTCATTTTTTTACTGAAATTCATATTTAAATCTCCCATTTTTGTTCATAACTTTTCTGTCATTTTATGTGTTTTTAAATTTTTTTTGTTTGGAAATAAGACCAAAACTTGTGATTCACTGACTTCAACTTTTTAAAATCATCTACAAGTTCTCAGAAGTTCAAATCTGACTTAGTTTGAACTCATAATATTGAGAGCAACTAGGTGGTGACATTTTGTCATGTTAATGCCTTGTTTCAACATGACTCCATATATGGAAGAATATAAAGTATCTAGGACTGGGAGCCAATCCCCTCAGGCGATTCACACCATTTGACCATTCTGATACTCATAGCATTTTTCTGTTTTACCCGAAACATGCTCTAATATTATGAGGCATATTCTGTGATCTGAGCACATCAGATGGGAAGAGTTATAACTGTCAATAAGTGTGATAGTTATCATGTAATCATTTACCTAATGTCAATACAGTAGAACCTGTATATCTGAACACCTGGCTAATCCGAACACCTCCCAATCTGAACACTTTTTTTCAGTCCCATTTTTTCCTCCCATTGACTCCCATGTTAAAAAAAACTTGAATTGTGAACACCTCTCAATTTGAACAGTGAACAGTCATATTTGAAAAATTAACCTGTCTAATCTGAATACTTTTCATAAAATTTCACATGTTTCATACAAAATTTCTCAAATATTGTGATATCAAAACTTTGGGAAAAACTTAAATGGTCTTGATTAACCTATACTAGGGCTTTCCAGCATGACTGGATTCATTTGAATTGAATTTTAAATTTCTGAAATGCCGTACAGCTATGTGGTCAAATGAACTATAAATATGTACAGTAAAACCTGTATATCTGAACACCTGGCTAATCCGAACACCTTCCAATTTGAACACTTTTTTTCGGTCCCATTGTTTCCTCCCATTGACTCCCATGTTAAAAAAAACTTGAAATCTGAACACCCCCTAATTTGAACAGTGAACAACCAGATTTGAATAAGTGACCTGTCTAATCTGAACATTTTTATCAGAAATCAAATGTCTGGACATTTCAATTATAGCCACATATTGAGTCAATGTTATAGTTGTTATTTATCTTTACATATACAATGTAATCAAAGAACCACTATTGTCCTAACTAACTTATTTAGTCTCAGTGACATCCCTAATTTGTGGAAAACAACAGGATGTTTTGGAAAGGTGTGAATACGGGAGTTAATTGGTTTATCCTTATTGTAAATTAACTGGATGTTTTTGATTTGGATTATGAACAGGTCTTGACTGTTTTATATCTCATGGGTCTGTTATGATAGCTAAGATTCAATCAGCAAATGTTTTATAATCACAAGGACAACACAGACGACATTTGCAGACAAGATTTAGAAAAGAACTGAATGTTTTTGATTTGGATTAAGAGAAAGGTGAGAATCTGGGAGATAATTGGTTTATCCTTATTGTAAATTAACTGGATGTTTTTGATTTGGATTATGAACAGGTCTTAAATGTTTTATATCCCATGGGTCTGTTATGATAGCTAAGATTCAATCAGCAAATGTTTTATAATCACAAGGACAACACAGACGACATTTGCAGACAAGATTATATCACGAGAAAGAGAAAAAAATTCAACTTTGAAATATCCTATCGCTAAAATGTCTCCTAAAAGGCATACATCTGACATCCTGAATGCCCTTGATATTTTGAAGGATTATACATCATCTCGAATGAACACTCATGAAAAATTCTTTTTACTTGAAGTGCCAAGAAACAAACAACAATGAAGGACTTTTTCAAGCAAAAGTAAAGCAGTGCTATATTACCATAATATGGGATAAGTCATTTGATAAGCATAAGATTTCATACAAGACTATCATATACTTTTACAGTGTATTACAAAGTTTTTGCCAAAATATAAGAGTTATTTTTACTAAAACGATGATATTGTTCAAAATATAAAAAAACATAGCATATAGGCTATATGACTATAATTGTAGAATTAACTCATCAACAACATTTATTGCTTTCTGACTTAGTATTAAATGTTCAATATAGTGGACTGAACAATAAAAATCCCCCCCCCCCCCCGACCAACAAAATCCTCGAAATTTGAACACCTGCCAATTTGAACGCTTTTGGCTGGTCCCGTGGGTGTTCGGATTAGACAGGTTTTACTGTACCAAGAATGTGTTCACATTTCTTCAGAATCAGGAATCTCGTGAATGCAAAAACTTCAAAATGTGAACACCTCCTAATCTGAACGTTTTGAGCCGGTCCCAATAGTGTTAGGATTAGACAGGTTTTACTGTACATTACATAATAGGCATTGTATTTAACAGCAGATATTAGCACAGGCATGTGTACACAAGTTTAATGACCACAATTAGATGAAATATGAGCTGGGATGAAAGATCTCCAAAATCCTCAATTTTGGGCTCTCCTGGATTGCCAAATTAACCTCATTATATCATGGCATCTCAGGGCAGAGAAGAAATGAGATGTCATGGTTTATCATGATGCTATTTGACATAGGATACAATATTTGTACTATATGGATCTATGTTAACCTGTTACATGTATTGCAGGCCACTCCTGAACCCGCTAGCAGTCAAGGGAGACTATACAGCCCTAAGTCGATGCAGGAAAAGAAATCAGCAGGGTTACAGTTTTTGAAATTCCTTGAAACAAATAACCTTAAAGCCAAAATAGGAACAACGGATGACCTGAGAAAAGTATATATGGAGGACTACAAGAAAAGTTGCCAGGAGAGATTAAGAGATGATGTCATGGACTTCATTGGTTTCGACTCCTTTCAAGGGATGTTGTTTTCCCTAAAACGATCACGGTGGGTATCTGTAGATAAAAATAGCGTCACATTCCACAGTTGGGATGATCGACCAGCGAATCGACCACGTCATAGAACTCGAAAGAATAAATCAAGCCCCACAAAATCAAGTCCAGACAAATCACCAGGTTCTCCACATAAATCAAAATCATTTGCCAGTGTTGCTGTTGATCAACATTTTGCATTTCGGCAAAACAGCATCGTGAAGATGTCCATATTAGGCTCGAATGATGACGAAGAGAACCTGCCTCAAGGTGTCGTGAAATTTCCCCAGAATGGCCACTTCTCGTGTAAAATCTGTAAGGTGATTTGTACTACTGAACACAACATGAGGAGTCATATTGAAGGCAAACAGCATCGGACACAAAAACTCCTCTACAATCTGAAGATTAATAGGTATGCTTTTTAATCAGTTGTACTTGTGTAACATACAAATTATATAACAACGGACTTTGTATCTTCATATGTCAAATTGTAATAAGTTGACTTCTTGTTATTGATAATTTAGACCACTTAGAAAGTAAAAAGTAAGGATTTTCTTAATCTAACCATGGGCGTTCTATTGAAAGCCCATGATCTAACTGGGTATTATATGGATCTAGATCTTCGAAAACAGTTCAATTTGACAAGAAATTTTAAGAAATTGGCCTTTTTATTGTCAAAAGTCATGTTTTGGAACTTTTCACTGTGTGAGCCCAGGATCTGTTGGCCCTTTATTAATATGTGTAGCTCCTTGCCTAATCAATGAGACCACAAGCAAGCTGATGGCATGATGAGGTGTGGAACTGTGGATAGTAGCCATATAACACATGATTTGTACTTTAGGCCAATCCTAGTTGCTGATAAAGAGGGCGTTACTATCACAGCTACGGGGTGTGACATGGAGGATGGTTCTATGAAGTTTGATATTTTTGAGAACAAACCAAAAGTCATATGGATTCAGATCAACAACGATGAGGGCAATGATGTTGTCATATTCAAACATTGTGAGATGTTGCGGAAGATTCGTGTTATTCAGTTGACTGACCATGGTAAAGTGACAGATGGTTATAAGACAGTGGAAATCAATCCAGGTACAGTACCAGTCAAAAATGTAATTTAAGATAGCATGGAATAAAATTAGCAAAGAATAAAACCCTGTATGTCATGTACATATAGCAGATGTTTTTTGGGTCACTCTGTATTCTGCAGCATATAAAATATACTTAGCTTTCATTTCTTAAAATACAATGTTTTTCCAGGTGGGCAGTATATTGTGAAAATGACTGTAAAAGCCTCAATGATTGGGTGCTACTTTACACCGCTGGCTTTCCAATTTAAGAAAGTTCAGGATGAGGCTGGGTTCCACATCGTGCGATATCTGGCTGCTCGCTGTACTAACCCTGTACTGGAATCTCTCAAACCCACTGCACCATATAAGCGACCACCAAGAGTTGCTGTAAAGACCTTTAAACGAGATGTTGTGGAGGGTGTGCCGTTACCCAAGTAAGTAACGGAAAAGATTATTTGGATCTAGCATGAAATAACAAAATTATATTGGACTGTGATTGAGAGAATTTTACTATATTGATAGTCAAAGTTATCATAATTTCCGTGTAGGATGGGTTCTGAAAGATTGAAGCGTGTCATTGAACTTCAGCAGCATACTATACCGAGGGGTCTTCGCCGTGTGATGAATCGCGGCCTGGAGGAGACCCCACGAATGTCAGCAGAAGATAAACTAGACATGAAAGAGATAAAGTAAGATTCATTAGAATTCATAAGCCAAAATATTTCAAATTGTGTAGAAGTATGCCCCATAAGGATATGTTTTAAAATGTATCATGTTCTATTGAATGATAATAAAAAACTGTTAAAAAGCTTTTCTATTAGATGGCTTTTATTAACATTAGTTTTCCTAGGATGCATGTTTTTGTAATTCAATTATATTAGAACAATATTGTCCAAATTCCTCAGAGTTTCATTGAATAACTTGAGCCTGAGGGAGAGATCTACCTTTGCCCCTCCCCCTCTTTGCTGATATGCTTCAATTACACGTTACAATTACACATTCTAGGGCCCAGTTAGAGGCTGAGCTAACTATGGACAATTTCCTAGACAAGCTCTGTCACCTGCTACATATAGAGGAGATACAAATGGAGGTGGATATAAGAAAGTATGACATGGAAGATGTCTGCATGAGGCGTTGTAAAGCAAACCCTCGTCTTCTTGTACTCAAGGTAAGGCCCACCTGGCCCGGGAAATGACCCTCTCCCACAAAATTCTTTTATATTTCACATCCTCGCTTTGAGCCATTATACTGTACCTGTCTTGTAATTTTTAGTAAGACTAAATAACTAATAATGCAATAACTATATTTCAGAAATATTTAAGAGAATCGTCCCTCAATACACTGCAACTGCAAAGTGCATTACATTGTGAAATAAATTAAATTAGAAAGAGAGAAACTTGCAATAACTCAATATGTCCACGCTTTGATTTATTTTCTAGGTGCCAGGTCTGGCTGAGAATCGTCCCTCGGTGTTGCGTGGAGATCATCTATTCGTCCATATGCAGAAGGACACTGTGGAATACAAGGGCTATGTGCATGAAGTGATGCTTGATGAGCTGAAGCTCGGCTTTGATAACAGGTGTGTAAATGTATATACCCAGGAACATGAAAATGAATATTGTGTATGTGGTGTGTCGTAACAAGAATATTCAAAATTAAAATAAAGGCATCACCAACAGCGATTAATGTTTTTTTTTATAATAGTGCATATTGTATCTGGCTGTCAAGTTAGGTGAAGATGTTAAGCCAAGAGAATGTGGGTTTGAATTTCTGCATTTTCGTGAGCTCCCTGTGTTTTTTGACGCATGCATCATCATGTTAATTAATATATAATTTCACATGAAGCTCTGATGTAAAGCAAAATATATATGATAACATATGTATATGTACATATACATGTACCATGCATGTATTTTATCTTGTTATTCATCGACTCCTCATTTAATTTTAGACTCCTGAAAAACTTCTTGCCAAACATGAAGTTTGGTGTTCGATTTGTGTTTAACCGCCTGCCATTGCGGCTGCAACATAGAGCTATACAGTTAGCTGAGGAGTGCTCCCTAGACAAGCTGCTATTCCCTACGTTAGAGACAGCCAGCTCTTGGGGCACCATGCAGCCTTCATCAACGAAACTCAGGTAGGATCTAGGATTGCACATGACTGAAATCGAGGGATTGAAAAATTCAATATAAAGAATTGTCCTTATATTGAACAACTAACTAGGTTATATAAGATGCCGTTCATTCTTATCTAGTTGATTCACTTGGTCTATGAGGCCTTTTAGCGATTGGCATTTGAATTTGAATCTATCATGCTCTTAGGTTGAATGATCGTAAGCTTGAGGACAATCACGAACAATACACAGCTGTACAACATATTGTGGCAGGAAGTTCTCGTCCTGCCCCATATGTGGTGTTTGGACCACCAGGAACTGGCAAGACTGTCACTATCGTAGAAGCCATGAAACAGGTAGCCAAAATGTGATAGTATTCAGTGTCGGCCCTAAGGTCCGGTCCGATGGTCATTACCAGGTTACTTTTGATAAGGACCAGTTGATTTTGTCACTAGGTATAGGAAAAACATCGCAACTGGTCTGTAATGCCATTTTGACCAGCAGGTTTTAGATCCTTAGGGCCTACACTGATAATATTGTTTGGTATTTTACATTTTACATTACATTAAATACATTCTCTTTTGACATATTGTTACAGTGATGGCTGGTATTCTAGGGCTTGTTTGATGGAATTTGCTTGGCATTGCCATTATGTAGTTGAAAACCTATGATTGTATTGTTTTAGATAGTCCAGTGTTACCCTAACACTCACATCCTGGCATGTGCGCCTAGCAACAGTGCAGCAGATCTGATTACGGAGAGACTCTTAGAACATCTCTCCAAGACACAGGTGTTCCGCATGAACGCATTCTCACGATCTTGGGCTAGCATACCACAGAAAATCAGGGTAAGATTGAGACCAAACAAAAAATATTAATGAATACATCAGATTTTAAATTATTTACTCAGTGGTATTTTTCCAACATTTCATTTTGTTTAAATGATTAATTATCGTGGGACATAGTTTTCCATATTTATTTAAATAATTACTGCTTGACTCAACTCTTACTTATTGACGTTATGGGACACATCATATTCGTCAAAATGACAGGAATATTATGAATTTTCCACTTCAAAATCATTCAATCACTTTTCTTCAGAGCTGCTGCAACTATGATAAATACGAAGATCAGTTCTTCTTCCCAGAGAAAGATGAGCTGATGAAGTATCGTGTTGTTGTCTGTACATTGGTGACGGCAGGTCGTTTAGCATCTGCCAACTTTCCTCCAGGTCACTTCAGTCATGTGTTTATAGATGAGGCAGGACACGCTATTGAACCAGAGTGTTTGATACCTGTGGCAGGTAAGTCAGATGTTGACATTTCATTTCGGCTGACTTTTCTTAAAATTTTATTTCATTCAATGCAAAGTTTGTAAAAAAGTTGGGAAGTCGTTCAATGAAAGATAAACAATAACAGTCCCTATATTTTTTGACAGTTTAAAAAATATTTGTATTTTGTATTATCACTAACATTTACAAAAGCATTTACATGTACTGTATTAGAAGTATCCTGTATATTTCAGGGATCCTAGAGTGTGATGTCAAGGTTGCTAATGGAGGCCAACTTGTTTTAGCGGGAGATCCAGAACAACTGGGTCCCATACTTAGATCTCCTGTCAGCTTGAAATATGGTCTAGGTGTGTACTATACTTTACTGCCACTTGGGTTGATGGAAGAACCATTACCTTTGTGCTGTCTATTGACCATCATTTATTTAAATTATGGGTTCATGTCATACAATATAAGAAAAGTTGCTGTTCACAAAATTTTCAAGGAATTAACAGTGAAATAATTGAACAAAGGATAAAATGTATCTGCAGGAAATAAAAATTGAAAGTTGTTCATTTTCTACAGTGGAAATCACTGTAATATCAAAATAAACTTAGGAATGATTTGAATTGACTTCACAAAGATTTTACCTTTTTACAGAAACATCAATCCTAGAACGCTACATGAAGCAGTGTGAAGTTTATGACAAGGCTGTAAACCCTGGACCAGATTTGAAGTCATTCAACCCTAACCTCATCACTAAGCTTGTTCGCAACTATCGCTCACACCCAGCTATTCTACGCATACCAAATGAACTTTTCTATAACAGCGAGCTTGAACCTCATGCTGATTTACTTCTCAGGGAATCCCTGTGTAAATGGGAGGGTTTGCCATGTATGGGGTGTCCAATTGTATTCCATGGGGTGATAGGGCAAGATATGCGTGAGGAGAGGTCGCCATCATTTTTCAACCCAGAAGAGATTGTGCATGTGATGAAATATGTGGATACTTTATTGGAGGAGAAGAAAGGCGGGATTAATATTCATCCCAAAGATATTGGCATTATCACACCATACAGGAAGCAGGTAAATACATTGTACTGGAATTCTTGATTATAAATTCGAAGTGAATGTGCTTTGCCATTTTAGAATGTGAATGGCTTAAACACATTCAACATCAGTTTGGTTGAACAGAAACTATAAAAGTACAATAACATCCATATAATAGCACTTGTCAATCATTGGATAATTTCACATACTGTCGGTTTCTATAACATTTAAAAAACATCTAATTTTGCTCAATAATCTGGTTACATAATGCTAATTTTAAAATTATAGGTTCAGCTTATGTTCTATTTATAGGTTCAGAAAATCCAGGGTCTTGTTCGTCAAAAGAGACTTACTGAGATCAAAGTTGGCTCGGTAGAGGAGTTCCAGGGTCAGGAACGGAAGGTGATCATCATCTCCACTGTCAGAAGCAACCCAGAATACATGTCAATGGATATAGAGTACCAACTAGGCTTTGTGAAAAATCCAAAGGTTGGCCATACTCAATGTATTGTATTATTAACCCTTGTAGAACTGCACTGTTCATACAAAAAGTGACATTTTATTGACTATAGAGTGTAGACACACACAAATTTTAATGCAAATGCTAAAAAGTTCACTCAAACCCAGCGGGACTTGCAACTCTTCTATAATACATAAATCCACAAATGATTGTGCTAGCCAATCAAGATATAACAACCACATTTTAGCAACGTTTTGAAATCTTTAGAATTGCAATGTGAAATGCTGAATGTAAAGTGCAATTATTCTGTTTTGCAGTTAACTAGCAATTTCTTTTCATTTTCCATTTCTTATTTAGACAAAATGAAACTTAATTTCCTTCATTTTTATGGTTTCAGAGGTTCAATGTGTCGCTGACGAGAGCTAAAGCTCTATTGATAGTTATTGGAAACCCTTATGTTCTAAGGCAGGATCCATGCTGGTCCACGTAAGTAAAGACTTCCAGAATACTGTCTAGAATAATACCTCTATAAGGAGGCAGTGAAAATAATATCAGTTTGGTATTATTGTTGATGATCAGTATGTTACATGATTTTCAAAATCCTGCTCCGTAATTGTTTTTGGCTCACATGGCATAATTCATCCACTCATCTCTCCTTATGTCAGTGTCCATAACAAATGGCAGGTGGTGACATTTTGCATGTAAATATCTTGTCATCAATGACATGTGCCTGCACTACTACAATTGTACATGTTTTTTGTAATCCAGGTTCTTGAACTACTGTCGTGGCAACGGTGCATACAAAGGCTGTGACTTTGACAACCTGGAAGATCATTTAGAGGACATCACTCAAAGGTTTAATGCAGTCAGTCTCAGTCAAGGTATAGTTACCCTGAATACAGATGAGTTTAATGGCAGTTTATATGGAAGAGAATGTAAGATAGGCAGAAAATATAGCAATGTGATTTTTTAACTGCATACAATAAAACCTTTATATTTGAATACCTCTAATCAGCTCCAGTTGTTAGAGACCTTGAAGTTTGAACACATAGCTTGGTAGCATAAACATGAATAGAGTATTTTTTGAACCCCTTTGCAGAATCAGAAGATGGGGTGGAAGTCAGTCAGTTGGAACAGCAGGTTGAACCAGAGTGGACGACAACTGAGAAAATCTGAGTGAACCTTGTGTAACAATCTACTGAAGATATATGTGGACCAGAAGGAATTGAGGGAACAACATACATACATTGAAGTCAAGTCTACTTAAATCCAGATGCTTTAAGTCAGATAAATCATTAACACATGGACAAAAACAGTTGAAATGGTGTGCTAAATGAAATCAAGATTTTCATTCTTCAGTGCAAGAATATGTGTATGTGTACTACGCAAACATTCAGTCTTGTGCTTGCAATATGCTTTATTATTACCACCTTAACGGGTCTGTTCTAGGGGTATTAGTGCTAGTTTGGAAGGCATTTATTTTACTATATCGACCTGAGCAGTATGTGACGTCATAGTCGCGGGCCATATTGGCAATCAATAATGCATTAATGACTGGCAATTTTCCCCGGGAAATTAGATATCGTTCAGTGCGTAAGATTTTCTTGCTATTTTAGCCCTGGGCATTAATGGTGGTAATAATACTAATAACGTCATTTCTGCGGGCAATGTAGTGAAATATTGGACCTTCCAAATGACATTATTGTACTATTGACACATGGGGGGGACTGTAATGTAAAAATGCAGCGAAGTTTGGTCTTGACCCATATCATCTCACACTCCATACTATGAAATGTCATTAAATAATCAATTCAACATCTTCATTACAAGAAATGCATTTGATACATGTTGTAAATTTTCAGATACAAGTATTGTACATTTTACAATTGAAATATTAATTTTAGAGACTGATTTTTGTAAGAATGAGTGCTTATTTATACATGATACAAGTATTATTTTAGTTAACAATTGCTTCCAAGACTGGGAGAACCAACTAGACTGCTTTTTGTCAAATGATTTTTTAAAGGTCATGTGTAAAGCGACACATTAATATTTTTAGATGTAGTTCTTGCATGCAATTTCTTTCTCATTTTTAAGAAAGTTAATGATTGTTCATTATAGAGTGTGGTAGTACAGCGTTGCATCTCAGTTTAGCATATGTAGTTTTAAATACTTTTTATAGATTACATTTGTAGTTGTCCCTGTAGTACAAAAACTACCAGTTATGTGACATTTATTTGAGATTTATGTAGTCTATAAGATCTTGAGGCATTGATAAATATATCATTACAGCCTTAAATCGTAAAATAGTTTGAAGGATTTGGAAATGCAACAATTAATAATTATGTAGCATAGATTGTATCTCTAGTTGCACTTGTAGTAGAAAAAGACAAAACTATAAGGCATATTTGTTGAAAATACGAAAAAGAAACACAATAGATTATAAATATGTATGAATCTTACTTGATGTGAATATTTGAGGACCCCATGAAATTGCAGCAAATTATAGATCTTGTAAATAGAAAACACTATTTTTGATGAAAATTACCCATTTAAAAGATGCATCATGACATGCGTATATTCTAAGTTTAATTAGTGTAACTAAGAAATGATAATGTTTGGATAGTATCTAAATTAATGAATGAAATTAATTTTGAATTATCAAATTTTAATGCGTTTATTTTCATTATAAATTAAGAATTATTTATGTGACATGTGTTATTATAAGTTCTTCACACCTGGCTTAATCCCATCTTACTGTCCAATTTTGCTAATAACACGAATATGGCATGTGTATTTTTAGTTAAAGCAATATATGATAATTGGATGTATGTGAATAATAGTATTGTCTGTTTTTTATAGAATACAATGTTTCTTATTTTGACAACTGTATTTTAATCTGTAAAATGCACTGCTTATTTATTTGTATGTTTTAAATGTTCAAGGAGTACTTATTTAAAAATGTCTTGCCTGTATTTTAAAAACCAAACAGTATTTTAATTAATTGTTTGTAATGTCTTTTAATTCTGTCTATTTTACCATGTCCATGATATTTTAGTCCATTCTTAGCATTTTTGCATAATGTAATTTTGCATGTTATTTTCATTGAAAGATGGCGTGGTATCACTTGTGCACTGCTTTTTCAAGAAAATATGAAAAGTTGAAGAAATATTTTATTCAAAATTGTCAGAATTTGGTGATATTTGACCATCAAATTGTTCATATATTATTATATAAGCAAGTTTAGGATGCAGTCAACCATAATGATAAAGAGATTGATTAATATTATAGATTGTATTAAAATTGTACAATGTCATTGATAAATGAGGAGTAGTAATAAAACATATTTTCAAATGAAAAAAAACAACTTTTTGTCCCTTCAGCTATTTATTGTTTAGAAGGATCAGAAATAGTCACTAGATTTGGAAAAATCAGAAGACTCTATAACTTGCACTAGCAATAGATTCTTTTCTGTAAAATGTTGAAAATTTCAAACCTAGTGAAGCATGGAATTAGAGAGGTGTTTTATGTTAATATTTACCATCTAGAAGTTTTGTATCAGCCCATTGATAATTATTTTGATTTTTTCATTGGTGTATTTAAGGATTTTGTTCCCTTTAAAGGTTTCAAACATTAATGCCAAACTAGATATACTGTTTGTTTTATATGGAACAAGTGTAAAAGAGCAAAGCAAATAAACAAAGGTTTTAAACATTAATGCCAACTTGAAACTTAAAATAAAATACAATGGCAATTTGAATTCCGTTTGCTTTACAGTTTGATAATTTCATGATTTTGATAATTAAATTCCAATACTTAGATAATATTAGATAAGAGGAATTGTCTTTGACTACCAGATAAAATAGATTGTATTCATAATTCGTCTATCTATTATAGGCCATTATGGATATAGGTGTGCACGTGACTGCATAGAGAATGAAATTCACAATCAACAAAACCAGAAAAAGTCTTATTTGTTCTTTCATGGAAATTCTACTGGAGATCCTAGCCTCGCATTTGACCGCATGTGGTGACACCAGCAAGTGCCCAGGCTGATCTGAAACCTACAAGATTCAAGCAATGACTTCTAAAACTTTCAAGCTTGCTGAACTATATTGATTTTAATTCTTTCACATAAGCGCTATTAGTCCCTGAATAATTTAGCTTACTCGAGTCTCTAGCCAATACAGTGGCCTTAGAAGAAGGTAAAATTTAGCTAATTGATCTAAATTTACGGTATGTGTTAGATCTCCTGTTTCTCAACTTTGTTCTGGCATTCAGGTGTCAAGCACTATTTAAACAAAGGATATAAACAAACAAACAATGTGAAGTATTTTTTTTATTTCCAATTGAAAATTTTATCTAGTCTAATTTGGTTTTCAGGTAGAAGGATTCATCTTCACACTATGGAAGACATGAAATTATTTCATATTTAAATTCGCCGCTCGTTTCCATAACCCGGTTTTCAATTTAGTGATAATTCATTTTTGTAACAAGCTATTTGATTCGTCAAATTAGTCACGTGGGTAATTGATGACGTCGATGGCAACCAAGCATTATTATGCAGGGACAAGAAATAGCAACAAATAATCTCGAACGGTACACAGAAAGTCACTATTTGACCATTTTACTGACATATTGTACTAAATAAACTATCTGGATATAAAGTTAAATATATAGTGGATATTATTAACATGTTACAAGGACAATCGGAATAACATTTAAGTTTGAATCCCAATGGAATTATGACAACCCGAGTGAAACAAATGCCTGTTCAACGGACTCGATCGTTGACTGGAAATCCGCCTGGAGAAAACATTTATTCTCACCATACTATAGACAATCCTGCCTCTCACCATTTACCGCCACTGACCAGTCAGACAGTGGGCGGTTCATCGATACATCACGGAAACCAGGCTGGCGTGAAGGTCCAGCAATTGTATGAACAAGAAAAAATCGAAAATAAAATCCAAAATGGCGACCATTCCTATCATGTTAGTCAGCAGTTGCCCTCTGTCAGGGCCACATCTAGTGCAGGGAGCCAGGCTAGCAAAGGCAGCTCTGCAAAACGTACTGGTACAATGACACCAGAGTCCGCTATGAAACAGTATATGCATAAACTCTCGTCTTTTGAACATCATGAGATTTTTAATTATCCGCATATTTACTTTGTCGGAGCAAACGCAAAGAAACGACAGGGAGTCGTTGGTGGGCCAAGTAATAACGGATACGATGATGAAAATGGATCCTATGTTCATGTACCTCACGATCATATAGGCTATAGGTACGAAGTTCTCAAAGTGATTGGGAAAGGAAGCTTTGGACAGGTTGTTAAGGCCTATGATCATAAAACCCACTCGCATATTGCTCTCAAAATGGTTCGCAATGAAAAACGTTTTCATAGGCAAGCCCAAGAAGAAATTAGGATTTTAGAACATTTGAAAAAGCAAGATAAAGACAATACAATGAACATTATCCATGAATATGAACATTTTACATTCAGAAACCATATATGTATCACCTTTGAACTACTTAGCATGAACTTATACGAACTGATCAAGAAAAATAAGTTTCAGGGATTCAGTCTGCAACTCGTGCGCAAATTTGCTCATTCTATTTTGCAGTGTTTAGATGCGCTGGCTAAAAACCGCATAATCCATTGTGACTTGAAACCAGAAAATATCTTACTGAAACAACAGGGTAGGAGTGGTATTAAAGTTATAGACTTTGGCTCAAGTTGTTATGAACACCAGAGAATATACACTTACATCCAATCTCGATTCTACCGAGCTCCTGAGGTGATTATGGGCTCCAAGTATGGAATGCCCATAGATATGTGGAGCTTAGGCTGTATCCTGGCGGAATTGCTCACTGGCTATCCCTTGTTCCCTGGGGAGGATGAAGGTGACCAGCTTGCCACTATAATAGAGGTTCAGGGAATGCCACCCCAGAAGCTGTTAGATAGCTCAAAACGTGCTCGCAACTTCATAAGCTCCAAGGGTTACCCACGTTACTGCTCTGTTACTACACTGCCAGATGGCAGCACTGTTCTCAATGGGGGAAGATCCAGACGTGGCAAGATGCGTGGTCCACCAGGTTCCAAAGATATGATAACAGCACTGAAGGGTGCAGATGATCCACTGTTCCTCGATTTTATGCGTCGCTGCTTAGAGTGGGACCCAGCCACTCGTATGACCCCTAGTCAGGCTCTCCGACATGCCTGGTTACGCCGTCGTCTCCCTAAACCCCCACCTAACGAGACTGCAGGTAACACTCGTCAACACTCTGCCAAGGGAATAATAACCAAGCTACCTAATGGTAGTTCCAAAGGTGGTGAACTCATCACAGAGAAAATGAAACCAGACATCAATACTAGGACTAAATTACCACAGATAGGGTCGACTATGTGATGCAAAAGGAGACATTGGGAACAATGAGCAGTGTTAGTATAATCCTAGGACGATTCTGATTTATACAAACGCCGTCCATTCGACTAGAAGATCTCAGATAAATTAACATGGGAGATTGTTGACATCAAGTACATGGAGGCAATATTCAATATTGTACATTGCCAAATAATACCAAAGTGTACAGCCTGAATTATTATCTACTTACAGACCTGTCTAATGTAATGTACATTAGGCATGGTACATATGGAGCTTTATCACAGTTTTACTATGGCATCGTTCAATTTGAACTCCCAAGTCATTCAGAAGATAATCATCAACAAATATAATTTAGTACATCTGGAGTATGTATTATTATTAGTATTGCAAACCAATATGGGTCCAACAGAAACATGCACGTGCAAGGTTTATAAATCATATGCATAATTTATTCTTTCCCTTTGACAGAGATTGCATGTTTCAATCTGCATAAACCTCAGTTACAACAATGATACATTTCCAAAATGTAGACTGTTCTGTGTATTACATTTTTCTGTGTGTGAACATTTGTGTTATTTCATTACCATTATTTGCAAGGTTTTTGCATCGATCATATTGCTGTGCAGCCAAGTGTTTATAACTGCCAGAATCTATGTGACAGCTGTACTTAAACGTGACTAAAGTGTATGTATTCTAATCAGCATGGCTCAGTAGGTTACAGCTAGAGTAATTGAACAATTTGATAAACCACAAGTTTTGTCTACTTGCCCTTTCTTTTAGTATCATTAGGACAAAGTTGGTCATAATTATTGGTTATTGGTAGAAGGTTTTAAGTTGTTACCCAGCTTCATGAGGAAATTGGTTTCCTGATTAAGTAATCACTTTAAGTTACTTAAGATTTTGTTCCAGGATGAAAGGGTTAATATTGGTCAGTTCAGAAATATTGGTTGTACTCAACTCTTGGTCAAGTATAAGTCACTGCTAACGGCCAGTATATAAATGAGACCATTATGGAAACATTTGTTCAGCAATAATTTTCATATACATTTGTATTGATACAAAATCTTATTGTAATTTTTATTTTGTTGATTTTGTCAGATATTGAGTTTGAAGTTTTTCAAATCGAAATTAATTGGGGCAGTCAGAGGGTTGGGGTTGTTTTAACGTTCGTGATGATGACTTCATTTTTACTGTTCATGTTATATTTATGCAATTTTAGTAAATGGTATTATAATAGATTTATAGTTGTAACACAAATACTCTACAACTAAACCTATTTTTACATTAGGTTTCTCTGTTATGTTCATAAATATGATAGAAATGTCAAGGTTGAAGTTTTGTCTTTTTATGTCAATTTCAAAGGCAAACATACCTCTGTGGGAAATTGTATTTTATTTTAGTATTATATTCAACTAGTTTTTCAAATTCTGTATATTAGGATATTTCTTGACTATTGAGAAATATTTTTACTTCGGTTATCCGTGAACCTGTAAAAATACTCAAATCAATATTTGTCTGTGGTATTGAAATTGAATTCCACGAACTTTAATAGTTTCATAATTAAATAATGATTACTTCTGTAGTAAATTGAACAGGTAAAATTGACTTAATCGTTAGAAATTTTGGTCTGTAATTTGTGACTTGTGAAATCATTGTCCGTTATTTGGAACTTATCAGCCAATAAGATACAATATGCCTTTTCATGTATGATTCCAAGAAATGTCTCAATTCTTCATCATTGACATGGGCTAATTAACCAATTTCTTGTCCTGGACTATGAGCTGTCAGTCAATAAAAAGGTGTGAATGTTTGTAAGTTATTATCACAGTTGTATGAGTCGCATTCCAATGTTTACAAATGCCAGAAATAGCTGATGTGATTGCCTTGTTTGTACTAATTATCAGACTGAGATACCAGTGATGGCATGCTAGATTGGCCCCATGATCAGCATTCACATCTTTCAGAAAACTTTTCAATTAAATAATAAATAATAAATGTATATTTATACTTCATATTGAGGATACGGTACAGTTGTAATAAGCCCGATAGGTAAATTGACTGTTAGCGTTTTCTTTCTGTTTGTTGGCATTTTTTTTAATAATATGAAAGTGTCACATGTCAAAATGAAATAACAAAAATCTTAAAATCCTCTAGAGTGGATTTGACCAAGGAGGCTTTTAAAATCACCAATTAGACTGCTTAACAGACATTTAATTTGTGGGGCTTATGATGTGTTCTAAATGTACAGGTATAACACAATCAACATACTGTGGTCATGGACCTCTATCACCATGGTGTGGTCTACTGTTGTATGATAATTGTGTATTTTATGTAAAAAATGTTTCTTGTGGACAATTATATCATGATTAGAGTTTCTACGTATTATTTTGTAATTGTCAACCAGTAACGTCTGATGTATTTCTTTGATACAAAACTGCACAAAATGTAAAAATGTATAAAATGAAAATATTTAATGATGAAACTTGTGAATAATACATATTATATAAAAAAATAGATTTCTGATGTTGAATAATGGCTCCCAGATGCTGTGGCGATTAAATCTTTGCAGGGGGAGTAGCACATTAACGTAATGGCCATTTTGGAGGGGATTTTTGTAGAAATGAATGAATGAATGGTATCTATAACAGTCCATTTTTAAAGAGACATTCCAAGTTAAATTTTTCCTTCAAATAGTTTTATATTTGATTATGTTCGGTTCAGTGTTTTCCTAATGTACCCACCACAATCTGACTATTTTCTCGTGATAACTGTGGACTTGATATTAGATCAGATGGAACCTAACCAAGAAAATTGAATTTTTGATCCATTGATCCAATACAAGAAGGCTAATAGCATGGTATCATGCATGTTATTTTCTCCAGAGGGGTTCCCTGCTAGATGAATAATGTATGGCCTATACACATGTTATATTAGTTCATTGATCCTACTTACTGAGGTCTTAGATCAATACAGCTCCATCATTCTTGGTATTAACGCAAATTGTGTCCCAAGATTCAGTGTGGTTATTCAAAATAGCACTTTTTCCAAATGGTGCCCATAACCAAGCCTAGATGAACCTGTTCTAAGTGCAAATATGATTAAACAGTAATAATGCTGATTTTATGAACTAGTGAGAAAAATTATCAGTTAGTAATTTCAATGTTACTAGACTATCTCCAGGGGAGTGTAAATCAATGATGGATGCTTTGAAAATTGGACCATTACTCATCTCGTCAGTGAATCAATATTTCTATTTTCTTTGTAAAATATCTGAACATTTGATCTACTATGAACTATAAGGATTTCTGTAATGTACAATAATACACAAAACGTTATCTTTCTGTCACTTCAGAATTTCACTTTGGGGATAATCTCTTTTCAGTGGTAAACATAGGGGGGGGGGGGGGTGGTTGGTTACTTACAGGGGTCCATTTCTTATCTTAGGCCTTAGAATTGACATTTTAGGCCTGATTTTCAAAATTGGCTTTTAAGAAATATTGGGCCTAATGCGGGAAACAGGAAACATGGTGCAAGATCCCTCAGTAGTTCTTTGTGGAAGGTAAACACATTTCCGTTTCTGAATTGAAAAATAAATGATGCCCTTTTACGAAGGATAGGAAAATGATCCAGTGTATTGTTGAACTCAGTGTATGTTGCATTGAGTGTTAACAGTTGGTGGTCCCAAAAGAATGGTGTGCAATATGTGCATATGAATGTCTGGGGGCAAAACTTGCAGTATACTTTTAGAAATAATGAAAGGCTCCAATCAAGTTCAGTTTAACTTTATAATGCTTGGTGATATGCTATAAATGGCATTGCCCCAAGGTACTAATATTCAGAAAATATATTTTTGATTTCTTGATACACATATAGACATGCTGATAAAAAAAGATAAAAACTAGATGAACTTTAAAGTCCTGAAGATATGAGATAGTTCCACATTACTGGTGATGAATTAGTCATTACACAATCATAATTACAAGTCATTGCCTTTTTCAATACTGGACTAATTTTGCCTCTTAAAAAGCATCATCACACTGAGCCTTTGTGTAGTTACTGTGCCTCAGGGTACTGACTATTCAGTCTACAAGGTGGCACATTATAAGCGAAAATCAGAGGTGTTATCAGAGGTGGCCAGTATAAATGGATTTGTGCCCTGGGAAAACCATACCTTCACATCAATGTGAATTTTAAAACATGCACATGTCCATTCAGTCGATCAATTTCAGATACAAATAATTGCTTTTTATCAATGGTTAAGTTGTTAAAGCACCTATGCAATTAATGAACTCCTTGATTAAAGTATTTGCAGTATGCTGAATAAAGCTGCATGTTTGATAGTAAATATTGATCACATATAAAATCCTCAGTTACCATCAAAAATACAGGTTTTAGAATATGTACATGTATTTCAAAGGCTTATTTGCATAATTGTAAGTATTTGTACAGTAAGACATGTTGGTACATAGTTGTATATATTTGCATATTGAAACATCCAAATATGTGAACAACCTCAAGGGAGATAGGAAAATGAACTACATGGCCTGAATCAGGTCAGCTTCACACGCTATGGTCTTCACTGCATTCAGACAGAGCCGAATGAATGAAGATGGAATCAGAAAGCCATTTTAGAGTTATTAAAAATACCTTCAATCTTCAAGAAACAAGGCATTAATATTACCACCTGCTACTTGTTACAGACACCGAACACCGACTGTTGGATGCGAAACACCAAAAACTGTCCATAAAAAAGTTGGAGACTTTAACAATATGTCACCACTTGTGGTCATTGCACTTTCTTTTTGATCAGTCTTGAGATGACATTGCAGTTGGAAACAGCAAGGACGTCTATCTCAGACGTCCTTGCAAACAGCAAGTTGTGACGAGTACTAGTATCAGAAAGTAAGGCAAGGTCTTATCCAGTTTCTCTCTGACCTTATCCTTGGAAAAGTAGCAATATAAGTGCCCCCATTCTGATTTATCAGAGTCCCTCTTTACCTAACGTTTACTGACATCTACTATTCTTGTCACATATTAGACATGCGATAGTTTAGGGAAACTTAGGCGACTAGATTATGTCTCCCAGGTCCCCACACAGAGACCTCTCACTACTTGTTCACAGACTGCATGAACAATGCGTGTACATAACTGGTGATGTCTCAAGACATTTTCTAAGTCATCTCCCCAAGAACCATTACAGTACCACACTGACAACACAACAACAACAACAACCTAAACCTCAACATGAGCTCTGCCAAAGACCTATCAATAGGCCAAATGATTGCCAACGCAAACGACACACAGGCGTCTATTTGCAGTGGAAAATTCAACTCCCATAACTCTATGGAGATGAATGACAGCAGGGACACCATTCCCGACTCAGAAGTACCAGCAAACAGCGCTGTCTTCAACAAACAAGCCTCAAAGCAAGCAACAACAAGCAGCCCTAAAGGCAAATACCATACCAAGCCGGCCTCTACCTTCACAATAAACAACCCCTCATACTCTATACCACGCAAACCGACCCTCAACATCATAGACGCGATGGGCCTAGGCCAACCTACAAACATCGGTAACCACACCAACTCCACACGCCAAGCAGACCCAGCTCTACTTACCCGTTTGAGAACATCAATACACTGGGAAGCCAGACATGATGGCGTCCTTAAAAGCCTTAACAACTGCCCGGGAGGCATCCCAAGAGGCCTCATACCAAATATCAAATGTGGCGCCCCTGAAAAGGAAACTTCCGACATTGAAAAAGCGTTCGAAGTAATCCTACATCACTGCAGTGACCAGCTTACAGAAGCCACAACACTGCATAGTCAAAACAGACTAGACTATCACAGACAACAAACCACAGCAACCATCCAAAAACTAGCCAAAACCATCGGCCTTGTGGAAGCAGACAAACTGGCAGAACAATACAAACGTGAGGCCTTCAAACCAAAAAGAAGGGAAGCAAGCACAAAACCCCGTGGGAAAAGACAGTAGAACAAAACTACTTTAAAAAATACAACCCCGGCCCTTCTCAGGGCCACCAATCTCTACCAAAAGAGCAATTTAACATTTATGAATTAAAAAAGTATGAATGTGTATAACGTATGAGATGTATGAACGTGTATGGAAACCACCAAACATGTTAACCCGAACCTATATCAACCCCCTAGAACTAATAAAACAGACCTTTGTATCACAAACTTTAAAACCAAACAACACCAGTGCCAACCAAAACACACCAAATGTTTACAATTCAAACCTGCAAACCATTGCCCGTACTTCGGAACACACACCCGTGTATACACTAACATTCCCCCTCCCCATTCCCCAAGCCGCTGATGAAGAACACATCATGGACTACCACCCATGAGTTCGAAACATCTTGTGCTCTTATTATGACACACATATAAGAGAGATGGTCCACTACAGGACCGGGATGTCCGGCCGCCCTCACATAAATAACAAAAAACAAAACAATATTATTTGTTGGGTAAGATACGAACAATATCTTACGCCATTTTTTACTGACATATACTATTCTTGTCACATATTAGACATGCGATAGTTTAGGGAAACTTAGGCGACTAGATTATGTCTCCCAGGTCCCCACACAGAGACCTCTCACCACTTGTTCACAGACTGCATGAACAATGCGTGTACATAACTGGTGATGTCTTAAGACATTTTCTAAGTCATCTCCCCAAGAATCATCTGAACTATTCCAAAAGGATAGTAAAGGCTGTGGATCCCACAATGAAGTGCCCCCCTCCCCGGCAGAGCATTCTAATACCCCGGGTCTGATACTCATCACACATTTTTGTTTCACTATCAAAATGAACAGTCTCAGGGCTGAGAAGAAATGAGATGCAATGGTTTATCATGATGCCTGCAGAGTGGGTTTAAAGAGAGAGGCGGATTGTACTTGTTTCACCTCTGACATAAAAATAATTACTAAAACACATATTCAAATTTTTTGAATTACTTTTATTATTTCATACAAATCAATTGAAGAGATGTGTAAAAAGTTGCAAACCACACCTAGGGTAGTTGCATTTCTAGCAAATAACTTGCACCTCTATAAACATGCTTTTACATGTGTCTTGGATGCAGCAACCCACACTATTTACTGTTAATTAGTCCCATTATTAACATATTAGAGCCTCTTTACATGAAAGCATGCTGAAAATTCATAAAAATCCATATATTCATAATTTAGTGATAATTACAGGCCACTTCTCTGTAAACAGATGGTGGGTTGACATTTACTGTTAATAAGTACATGTATCAAATGATAATAAGGAAAACTCACACTCTATTAGAAATATGAATCTTTGGTACATTAAATGTGCTGATAAATATTTCATTACTTGGAGCATGTATAAAATAACTGTTAATCTATAGAGATTTGGATATTGGTAATTCATTATATTATTAGATATTTAAATAACAGTTCCTGGTACCCTTAATGCAAATATAACATCAGCTAAGTAGTACTAATAAGCAATAATGGCAGATGTGAAAAATCTTCACTTTTATATTTCAGAAATGGTACCAACCTGAATATAGATAAAGATGATAAAGTGGACCCATCTTTTTTAGTCTAGCAACAAGCCCTTGTGACCACCCCCTCCCCCCCCCCCCCCAACTACAACAAGGTCTTTTTCTAAGGGGCCATGAACATGTGAATGTCATCATGACCTAGGGCTACAAAACGATCATTTTCCAAGTCAACCAACAATCAATTAAAATATAAAAATGGGTTACATCGAACACTGTGTGTAATAGAAGGTAACTGGTCAACTCGTACCCAAGACAAGTCGTACCCAAGACAACTCGTACCCAAGACAACTCGTACCCAAGTATAAATTCTTTTTTTAAATCAAGCATTGGACTGGGAATGTGAATAGATATACATATTACAATTGTAACATACTGTTCAGAATAGTTTAAAGTTTGAAGAAGAATTTTTGGAAGAAATTGATTTAATTTTGTGACATTTTGAGCTGAGTGTCAATTTATATTGACTATTATTTTATATTGGTCACAGATTCAGGATGTTCGAGTGAAGAGACAAATGTTTATAATCATTTTTCAAATGTTTATGAGTGTTTGGAACAAGTGTCAGATCTAATGTTGTAATTATATTTATTTATATATATGTTTGACAGAAAAATGTTGAAAACAAGCGCTTCAAGCACTTCTTTTATTTAATAAAAAATGCTTAACTGATCCATTGAGAAAAAATGTCGTCTAAATTCAAAAAAAATATTGAGGCTTATTTGATTCACATTATAACATGAAAGCATTACAAACTCAATTTTTTCCCTAATATGCACCCATAATACTGAAAATAAGCTTGGGTACGAGTTGTCTTGGGTACGAGTTGTCTTGGGTACGAGTTGACTAGGAAGCTAATAGAACGCACTGATCATAAAGTGTGGAATTGGCTAGACGTATTAATAAATAAATGCAATTAATTAATTTACTCCTCGTTGGATTTACTAAAACATGCAGTTTGACATGATTGATAAATTGAAGTCACACAGTCAGGAAGTTTCTTACACGAGAAATTATTAATTAAATTAATCTATAAAATTCTTGGTCAGTACATTTAATATAGCAAAATTCTTATTTCTAAACAAATGGATTTTCTAATAGACTTAATTGTTGATAAAATCAATTAGCCAATTCCATTGATAATATAAATGTTAATATTTTCAAGGGTTTTATTCATTAGTTCACATTCAATGATTTTCTATTAAGCAGTTAATTGAAGCTGAACTTTACATAGGTTCGAATTTCCAGTTCCCGACTGGCAATATCTTTTCTTCATCTTAGGTGCTAATATAACTATTGACAGTACTTTTTTATCACTGGAATTTTCAAGGATATAAATTTTTTTTGTGACCTTCTATATTAAATTTATAAATAAATAAATATTATATTTGTTTGTATGGTACAATTATCAAAATTGATTTTTCACTGTAAACATACCTCCCAAGTTCTAAAATAGTCATGACTTCCACATTCTAAAATAGTCATGACTAAAGGAACTGGTTAATCTTAATGAAAATATTATTCTATTTACAAATGAAAAATGATCGCCAAATCACCACACTACTTAGCAGTTGCTAAGAGAATGTTGTATCGATTGGAATAGTTCCATGGTACTACAAAATGTCAAAGCCCCTTTTTGTCACATGTTAGTGAACACGTACCACTCTATACAGAACAACCTTCAGTATATTGACTCTAGATATGTTCTATACTATAAGAGTACTGCTTGCGGAAATCAACGATTCCATTGGGACGAGATATTTATATACAGGATCCTTGTATTTAAACAAGCAACTTCACAACTGGAGGGGTTTTAATCATTGAAAAACTTAAAGAATTTTATAATTCTATAAATAAAAAAAACATGTTGACAGAGTGTCTCTGAAATATGTGTGAAGAATAAAAACCCATTTAATCATTTGCAAACATGTCTTCAATACTTCAGAAATATGTTTTAACAATGTTTTGAACAGTTTTTGTTTAGTATTTGACAATGATTTCAACGATATAGAAAATAAAATAATGACAGGTATTTGGGGCACTTACAGTTATAGTCGCACATTATTTTGTAAATCTGAAATTACAAAATATTAAGAGGCACTATTTGGTCATTGTGGGAAGGGAGAAGCCATATAAAAAAATAAATTGGGCCATGTCATAATTTCGATAAAAATGGATGGATGCTGTAGGGCTCCGTGGCTTTTTTGTAGAAAAAATATTTTTTATAAAAGACCTTATAAGGATCTATGGCCCTTGGGCTGATATAATATATTCACATCAGGATAATCTCTATACATCCTACAATTAGGATAATCTAGGCCTAATTATGTAAAGTCGATGACAAAATGTAATTTTACCATCCAGCCCCTTTCCCCTGTCAAAAAATGTGAACTGTTGGGTGTGGATGCTCAACCCCAAATCATGACCAAATTTATTATAACACGTATTGATTTCTGTGTTCAGGCCATTCAATCCTGAAACACGGCTGGTAGGTGCGACTACACCCTATGTTATCCATTTAACAGTTTAATGGGTCTGCTATTTGTCTTGGAATGACATTTCTGTCAAAACGTATTATCCAAATGATATAATGAAACAAGAATGAAAGAAACAATTTATTGATTACACAGTCTTATTGCAGTGGCTAATAATCACATAACATACTCCAGCAATGAGGTGCAACAACCTTGCAATTCCAGATGTGATCAATATAATAACACAGGCTAACTATAATGACAATAATTTTGCAATGGCACAGTAAGCATTCCGTTACTGTTGATAAATTTGGCCAGACTAATATAATTTACTCTTGATTGGCCAATTGATTGTTTAATTGATTAACTGGGTGAATCAATTATCTATTTTCAATTTTATGATTATTTGGATGTTTTGAATATCATCTTTAACAGTGGTTGTGGTTTATTAGATCGTTTATTCCTCAAATGTTTCCCATTGCCTTTTGTGATCAGACTAACAGGCCATACTCATATATGTCGTATCATACATTAGCTTACACTGGCATAGTATGATCAAATACACTAAGATTTAACAATGGCTTGTACATGTATTTTTTCAATTTCTGAAACATATGGCCATTGTTGAATCATAACTTACTTCCCCTGGTTTTTTAAGGTTCTATTGATTTAAAATTCACCTATATTCATTAATGATAAATTGAGGCAAAATCAGATAAAGGTCTACTGATACACATAAACACTCATCTACTTGCAAGGGAGCGTGTGAGGAAATTAATCATTTTAGAAGGGTAACTAGAAATATTATTCAACTTCATGATTAGACATGAAGTTGCTTAACAATTGATGACATTTAATTAAAATTATTGAATAATATTATCATCCAGCATTTATTTGTGTACATGTACTTATGTAAGGGTTATTTTAAGGACAATTCAACTCACGTTATTTATGACTGTAAAATGCACAGTCTCCCAAATTGGGTCAAACTCAAAACTAATTTATATTTCTTGGGGCTTTACTATAGCTACAGTGAAAACTGTATATCTGAACACCTTTCTAATCTGAGTACCTCTTAATGTGAACACTTTGTTTGATTTTGTTATCTCTGATTGGCTCACATATTTAACATCTGCTAATAAGACAGGTTTTACTGTATACAGTTCTATCCTAACTTTGATGTAAAAGATTAAAGTAGACACAGCCAGCAGAGCAAATTGGGTTATCTCAGAAATATTGTCCAGATATTTGACAATTGGAATTAGGTCAGTATGTCTAGATTTTACAGCTGTTGTCACAACAAATAAATAAGCAACATTAAAGCAAAATAAAGTTAATGATAAATGAAATACAAATAACACTATAAAACTCCCATAACTATATTCCTATTGTTTGCCATTACTATGTAAATGTTAATGGGTGCATTTATTACATTTCAGTCTAAAATGGCTAGATTAAATGCCTTGGTCTTATTTAATGTGCACATATTTAGAATGTCTAAAATATCCCTTTTCAATATGTATTTGTAATCTGTGTTTAGTAAATTAAGCAAATTCGAAAAACTTTGCAACCTGCTTAATTAAAAAATATGAAGTAGGAAAGCCTTTCATTCGACAAATTAAAATGGTTTTAATTGACATAAGTTAGGATAATTTACACACATACGAGAGGACTCACTGAAAAAAGTTTCATTTTTAAACAGTACTGATTTTCTGCAATAACAATTTTAGGAATACTTTACTTTGTTTCAGATTAAATAATAATATAAATAAATAAACAAGCCACACAGTCATAAATATCTCACTTTGAAGAGCAAAATGGTCACAATGTAATTTACCCAGCATGCCCAAAACCTAATCAGATCTTGGCGCTAGTCTGCATTTACATCTGTAAGAACAAAAAGTTGAGCTGAGAATAGGCAAACCATATTATATTGATGAATTGATAAATCTATAATTTTGCAAATTGTCCTTGGTACTATGCACTGTAGTATTTCTAGTTATCTGCCAAATTACGATGGTATGTGTATTGTTGGATACAATTATCAATGAAACTAATAATACTTGAGTATTATAATGTCATTTATCTAAATTCCAGTACTTTCTGGATCTGTTTCTGGATCAATGAATTACAAATATGTGGCACATCACAAAACCTATTTTTTGTAACTGTCATTCTTATAAAATCAAAATAACGAAGCATAAATAATTAATATGAATGCCCAATCTCAATTATCTAAAACTGAATTGTCCTGCCAGTAAATAACTGCACAAATGTTAACTGCAGGCTTTGACATGAATGCAAGAGAATGACAGCTGCCATTATTCAGTTATTGTTATGTTATGGTACATTATGGGAAAAGCAGATTTTAACATTCCTTCAGTATTTCAAAAATCCTATATGCTTTGTTTCTATCTAGAAATGTGTAGCACTGTTTTCATCCAAAAGAAACAGGGTATTTTAGGTGGAAAATGGGATATGAGGTTTCATCAACATAGGATCAACATAATTAACTTTTAGAATCCATTCACGTTAGAAATTATATATCACAAAATTATATTATTATCATATTACAAACACTTGTAAATCAATGGTCTTGAATGAGCAGAATAAAAAATGGTACAAGACAAAATATGGGACATGAAGTTATGGGTATACAACAAATAAAACCTGGTTGTACTAATTGACAGAATGTTCACATACAGTAAAACCTCTATATCTGAACAACCTAATCTGAACACCTTTAAGTGAACATTTTTTCTATGTCCCAAATCTATATCTCCCACTTACTCAAATACAGTAGAACCTGTGTAAGAAGAACACCCTTGGGATCACAGAAAAGAAAGTGTTCCATTTGTGAGGTGTTCCACTGTTCCACATGTTGTCATTTGCATAAACATACCATGTTAAATCTCAAACTGCATAGATGATATGCCCAATAAGGTGTCATCCACTTGAAAATGTATTTTTTAATCTTCCTATTGGAAATAAATAAATAACATAACTTGTGAGGCGTCCACTTAGCAGTTTCTACTGTATTTCAAAACAAGGCATTAACATGACAAAATGTCACCACCTAGTTGAAGCAAGATAAAAAAGACCTTTTTGACCTTGACGAGGTCATTAAAGGTCATATCTATTTTGATCTTGAGAATGTCATTGAAGGTCAAATCTATAGTCAGATTTGAACTGTTGAGAACTTGTAGATGATTTTGAAAACAAAATTGGTCAAGTTGAAAAAAGACCTTTTTTGACCTTGAAAAGGTCATTGAAGGTCAAATCTTAAATATAAAGTCAGATTTGAACTTATGAAAAGATGTAGATGATTTTGAAAACAAGTGAACTCAGTCTATACAGTATTTGCTAAATTATTGAAAGTTGTAAAAATTTGTTACAGACGCCGACCGCGGATCACCAACCATCGCCCAAAAAACGGAGACCATAACAATATGTCACTACTTTTTGGTGGTGACATAATAAAAACTTGTGAATGCCTACTAATCTGAATACTTTTGAGTGGTCCCGATGGAGTTCAGATTAGACAGGTTCTACTGTGTTTTTAACTCTAATGAATAAGTTGCTGCGTTCTATCTAGAACAAACATTAGATATTGTGTAAGCATTTGGTAAATCAATATGACATTCAGGCCCTTTTTATATAATTCAAACCCACTATAAAATCGATAATGGAAAAAACTCAAAAATAGAATTAGTCTATATTCAGTATTGGCACCACATTCTTTACTTTGTACTCAGGAATAATAATCGGATAATACTGAATCTTGTTAAAGAATTTGTACCCTTTGCATTTGTTCAACTTCACTTCTTAATAGATCTTCGTTTATAACTAGACTTTGTGGGCAGGGTAAAGAATTTGATGACATTACAAACTTTATGACATACACTTCAATATATAAATGGTATTCACAGCTATGTATTTATTTGACCAGATTTAAAGCTTCAGTATGGCATACATGTATACAATAATCTAAACAAATCAAACTTATTATAAAGATCTTAATTAAAAATTACCATTGGTTCCAGTAACTGTACAGACTTTAGCTATATATAGGCTTGTCAGACTTTTAATGCATTTTAAAATCAGAACACACCCAAGAGTGACATCTCCTCAGGATGCTCATTCAATCAGATTATATTTCATGGAATTGTCACCGAAAATTGATAATCTATCTCATATGTTCTGGTACAAAATAAATACTTTTTGGCTCATTCAATACTGGATCCATGGGTATAATCTAATTTGACCTGCATGTACATTAAGTTGTAATAGAATATTTCTGTACAGAAAAAATGAGGGGAAACAAACTTTCACAAATGTCAGGTTTAAAGCATAGTCATGAAGGTATAACCACAAAATAAGTTCTGATTTTCCTGACTGAATACTAATAATACTACCCTTTGCATTCATTCAACTTCGCTTCTTCAGTTACAGTAGTTTATAACTAGACTCTGCATGCAGGGTATAGTAGTACATATTAATAAATGACCAGTACTATAATGCTTTGTGCTCACATCCAAGAAGAGCAATTCTTATCTATGTAGTTCAATATACATTTGACCTTCATATATTAGGTTAAAAGCTGTTATTAAGATATAACCGCAAACTAACTTTTGACTTTTCTGACTGAATAATACATACTAGTATCAATAAATGATAAGTACTTTTAGATAGTACTATAATGCTCTGTTTTAGTGTCGAAGAAAATCAATTCTTTTCCATCTCATATGTTGTCAAATATCCATTTGGCAAAAATTCCCATTTCGATTTTCTTGTCAAATGTACAATATCAGACTAACTAGTGCATGAGATCTTCAGCTTTTATCTGTCATCTTGTGTTTCACACCAAATAATACATATAATCACACACTGTTAGTGTGTAGGGTGTGGGAGGTCAGAGGCTGTTTAGTTGACTAGACCTAAACAGCAAAATATACAAAAATTTATCATAAATTTGCACTTCCAATAACTGATTTATAAACAAGGATGTCTGATTATGTGTAAAGTTTAGTGCAAAACATTTGAGGGGACCCCTTCGACAGATCCTTCCAGAGAGGACCCCTTAGACGGAACCTTCCAGAAAGGGCCGCTTTAACACTTCCTTCCAGACCCATTCATATCATAATAATCAATATCAATCTAAAATGTACAACAGATTTGTCTCTATGAGCAATATCTCCACTTAATAAAACCTATATAAACAATGTCATGCAAGACTCTTTTTACAAAAATAATATTTTTCTTTTTCTAGGGACCTTAATGTTGCTCAATATTTACATGGTATGAGAAATTTTTATTACCCTTGTTTAAAATCAAATCTCAAGATTCAGAGATTAGTACAGGCTCCAGAAACTTCAAGTAACATTTACGATTCAGAAATCTAAAATTAATTTGTGAAGGAGCTGGTAATAAGGTAAAAATAATAAGTGCAGTAATCAAAAAATTTCAAATCTGTATATTCTTTAATTAAATAAGGTATGACATTTTCGGATTTAAAAAATAAAAGGAATGACATAAGACAAAAACACTGAATAAGATATACTTTATGTCGTCCCCTCTGTCTGATTCTACCTTTAATATACAAGAAATAATATAGATCAGATAGTAAACAATGACTCATCTGAGTAGAAAAAAATGCTCCAAATACAACACTATTGATTCTAATAATAAGGACTATTGTCTTCAGAACTGAAATTCTATAGCAGTGGCTACTTTCAGAAATCAGGATAATTACAGAGTAAACCAACAGCAAAAGTCCCCCAACATATAAACCTACATACATTATGTTGACCCGATGAACACATATACTTGGGTGAGGAAATATGAAGTGAACAGAGGTTTTTACTACATTTTCAAGTACAATCATTCATTACATGTATCTCTACTATGTAAGATTTCATTTTGATGAGAGTAAATATCAATTTCAATAGGCCTAGCCCTCTGTCTTTAATAACGACTGTGGGGGTGTTTGCTAATATTTGATTATTTCAAATATCCCACAACATCAAGACCTCCTTGGTCTAATATTCTGAGACCAACAGAGACTGGTGTTATAACTATCACCATAGCGACAACATTCTAGGAGGTCCCATTTAATATTGATAATTGCATTATGCAATAACCATCATCATAATGATGATGTTCTTAGAAGTTGATTAATTGAACAACAACAATTGATGTGATATCCATCACCATGGTGATAGTCTAAGTAAATGTACTCATTATCATGTTATATAGTATTGGAATTATTAACACAAGGTAATTAAGTGATAATATATGGTACATACCGGAAGTACCAGATATTATCACACAGGGATTCTTTGGGGCGTCTTCATTCACTCGGCTCCCCTGATGAACGCAGTGAAGACCGAGCATGCGAAGATGTCTCTGGGGGGGGGGTGTTTATCCGCTTTCTTGTATAAGTATGCGTAAAATATAAATTGTCTTCTTGTTTACAGTTCACATACAATATGATTCTTGTTTACAGTACACATGCATATAATGTCCCTTTACCTTGTACATTTATGACATCATAATTTCAATTTCTTTCCACTTCAATTCTGTTCACTTCCATTGGATTGTTTTGCCATAATTGCGTTCCACTTTACATATGTACATGAATTTTGAGTTCGAGCAAGTTGTGCTCAGCCGCTGTATGTCTAATATATTGTTTTCGACTATGCATTCCTAATGTGTTGTGTTTGACCATTGTTCTTCTAATGCATTGTGTGTTTGACCATTGTATTCTGTTCGACCATTGTCTTCCACAGGTTATGGTATCATCGACTATTAAGACTGAAAAAGGAAAATAAGAACATTTTTATATAACATCTACATTTACAGTTGTAAAAATTGCAATGCATTAAACGTAATACGTAACATGATGTTTAATACAAACAAAACATGAATATACAAATCTACAAAAAGGCAATAATAACATTAGTCAATGTTAGTCTAGCTACAAGCCCTTGTGATCCCCCTCCCCCACTACACACCTCCCTACAATGTAATGTAATGTATTGGTGAAGTAGATAAAGGGGGGGGGGTAGAGGTCCACTGTCTTGAAGCAAGACTAAGTCTATGAGCTCACCACCCTTTGCATTCGTTCGACTTCACTTCTTAAAAGAGAGCTTTGTCTTCACTCTTTCAGTTTACAATAAATCTCACCGAGCCAATCAGATTTCGTAATTTAGTCTATACTAGGCAGAGGGTAGTTTATAACTAGACTTTGCACACAGGGTATGAGATCACCAAAGATAGAAGATATTCTTGAAATATACTTCTGCATACAGTTTACATAATAAAAAGCATTATTCACATGCCCCATCCCCAGCAGTAAACGTGACAAGGAAAAATAAATGCACATCATCCCCAACATTATTTTTAAAGTACATTAATAATAGTATAAGCTTAGTTCAAGCTAGGTGTACAATAAAGGGTATCAGGTACAATCTTGCCTCAACCTTTGCATACCTCCTCCCTATAAAAGAGCACCTTAAACAGATTGGGGAAATACTAAATACCAAAGGGCCAACAAAAGATACAGCAAAAGAAGTTAATCTATCTATCCAACATGACAGAGTTTTGAAGCAGTTGTCCACTTTGTAAATTGACCTTGTAGTACTATGTAGTAGACGTGACACATGTGCCGCCAAATCTGGTTGCTATGGGATGTTTACATTATAATGTGATTACATATAATCTTGTATTTAAACTTTCACTAAATTTCCATATTTATGAAACAGCAATTCTAGATCCTGGAAAGGTAGTATTTGTATAAGGTATTTACAGTTCCGAAGCAGGATTTGATATATATAATCTTCTTAAATATTACATCATATTTTGTAGTGGACTGGGTTTATTTACAGTTTATACAGTTTACCATTTATATCTAAGATATGGTCAATGTGTATGTGCTGCCCTCTTTTAATTTCATTAACACCCTGTTAGAAAATTCCCCATGATGATGTCCTATATAGTACACCCCTCTCCCCAATCTGATACTCATAATATCTTTCTTGTTGTTTTACAAGAAAAAGGCTGAGAAGAAATGAGATCCTGGATCTTTGTAACATAATATTAAGCTATTTGATTAATTACACTTGAGGGGGTATTTTGTGATCTATCAAAGGAGATGAGACCCCAGGTGCCCAAGCCCAAGATCATATTTGCACTATCAATAATGGATAATTCTAATATCTCTGGACTTTCTTGATTACTTGGTAACTTTGCATGTAAGCAAGCAATAACTAATGAATGTAAGAAAATTAGGTAGAGAAATCACAATTTTGTGAATTGTCCAGGGTATGAATGATTCAATTTTCCAAGGTACCCAAATGATTTAATTATCCAACAGAGTACCCAATGATTCAATTGTCCAGCAGGGTACCCAGATGATTCAATTGTCCAACAGGGTACCAATGATTCAATTGTCCAGCAGGGTACCCAGATGATTCAATTGTCCAACAGAGTACCTGATTGATTAAATTGTCCAACAGAGTACCCGATTGATTCAATTGTCCAGCAGGGTACCTGAATGATTAAATTGTCCAGAGTGCCCAAATGATTTTAGGGCACCTGGATATGTAAATTAAACATTGTTTGCAGTAACCTGAGGCTATAAACATACTTTTAATTACCTATTGTTTAGAATAATATTGTCCGAGAAAGTTCACTAAGTAACTTGCCACAGGCTTAATATGTTATTCAGGCCAAAAACCTGGTGAACATTTATTTCCTTTTAGAGCACAATTGGCTAGCTATTTCTAAGAAAATACCTTTTATATATATGTTAATATTTTTCAGGTAGCAACAGTCATGATATAATAACTTAAAATCGTTTTGGTTTGAATGATTTTATTTTCATTCAGATTCACAATGAGACGCCCTCTTATTCATTCAGGACAAAGGGGCAATGACTTACCTTGATATTTTGTTATACATGCAGATACCTAGAGTATCTAAGTACACAACCATAACAAAATAGTAATAAGGCATTGACATGCATTAGCAAAATATAACCACCTGCCATTTATTACAGACACGAAACACCGACTGGCAGACACGTTCACAAAGAAGTTGAAGATAACTGGAAATCTTCCAAGGATAGCAAATCTCACCAAGCAAAACATATTTATACAATCACTTCTTTTTAAACATTCATGAAAATAATGAAAAAAAAATTCTGCAGATATAACATATTACATGCATAGGTTAGACAAGCCAAACTATTCCCCAAACTTCAGGGCAAATAACAGGTAAATTTTAAATTACCTGGAATGCTGATTCTCTCATAACTGTCTATTTAATTAATTAGCTTCAGGTGTTACATCTACCTGTTAAATCTCCATTTACATTTGTGAGATATAAATACACCTGTACACACGCAATACATTTGTTATTAGACATGCTTTTCTTTCTGTTAAAAAATCAATACTATATTTATTTTGAAAATAAGAAAAGTGACATTGTCATCTACGATTATATTTTTGTGACATCTATCACCAAGACCTATTAAAGAAAGTACATTTAACATTAACATGACAGAATATTAGAATATTTGCCTTAGGAAGAAGGGATGCCGACATGTTTATGTCATGTAGCCACCACACGCCATAGATAAGTTATGAAGAAATCATCTTGAGGTCATAAAGATCAGCTGGTCAAACATGATATTGCATAATAAATAATATAACATAATTAAACGTTATAACGAGAACATGACATCTCTATAGAGTTACAAATAAAAAGGACAGCTTTCTAAAATCATTATGGCCTATTTTGAAGACTTTTAAGCAAAATATGATACTGTATGGATATATTATATTTTGGGATATATTCTCTTTTTGAATACACCTCTCAATACTATTCAGTAAGGTGCATGACAGCTACCCAGATTTGAGAGAGTTTGAGATGTGATCATCATATAATAGTCAGATGTTGATGTGATTAGTTGAAAGTCAAATAAGAGCTAGCAATAGCAATACAATTCTTAAATAAAAGACAACGGAAATAGATTTTCTCAACTTGCAGCTACAAAAATGTGGTAGCCATTATAAAAGAAATGTTAGATACTGTAAATGGTCATAAATAACGTTATAAAATTAACTGATCAATCAGATTGGCCCCCACGTGATTAGTAACATCATACATAATATATAGTTTTAGTTTATTGATCCCTTGGTAATCACAACAACGACCATAGGATTGTTGTGTAAACAAATAACATCTTGGCATTATGACGTCATGATTTAATGGGCCACATGGGGACCACTGACAGATCACGTGGGGGGCAATAACGTCACAATCTATTCGAATATTGCTTATTAAGCAGCTATAACAATCGTTAGAGTGAAATAATTTTCACAACACTAATGAGAAAACATGTCCAAATACATTTATCAAAAAATTATATTGATTCCTTTAGGTCAAAAATACCATTTCATAACTGCTTTAACTAGAAATCAACAACTCCACGAAGTAGCAAATTCCAACAAACACTATATTTAAGAATCTGTAGTGTCACAATATTTAATCTACTCTCCCCTTGTTAAATTGGCAGAATGATATTAAAAAACATACTATATCAGACCATTTAGTCAAAGATACAATATTTGAGATCTAATATAGTATAATATAACCATACATTGAAGAGATCTCTAAGTAATAGCGGATTCTTGCTCTAGGCAGCCATTTTGAATTATCTGAGGCATGTATCAGAAAAACAATACCATAATTGTGATCTGCTCTAAAATTTCTTAAATTTGAGTATAATATAAAATACTTTGAAGAGATCAAGAAATTATTTTAAATCCCACATTACAGAGATCACGATAGTTGAAAAAACTTGTTAGCCATTGTGGCTAAATCTTCCAAAATTTTTTTCGCCAACCGAAATATGAATTAGCCATTTTGAAAAACCGTAAAAAAGGGAACATTAAAATGATCCAATGTCTGATGATGACAGTTTCACTTTTCAAAATCATATTCAGAAATAAAAAAACGTCAATTAAAATTGAATGTAAAGCATCTGCCGCGAATGTGATCGGCATTTCACATAGTCTGCACGGTGTAATATCACCAATTCGTTTACCTTGTGATATCGGAGTCCCAAAATACTTCCAAACTGCCGACTTTTTCGACTTAGATGCCGGCTCGATTTTTCAATTTCTTTCCTACATCCGGCATACTGATAATGCACTCGATTTGCGAACGACGATGAAGAAATTTACGAACAAGTATTACCATCTACCTGAAATCGCGGGTCCGTTAATAACACTTTTCAATGCAAAGAAGTGTAATCTAGGTACGAGGTAAGTGAAAATATTTAATTTTTCAGAACGAAATAGGAGGTGTTCCTCACTATTTATACACGTTTTTATGCATTTTAGGGAAGGAATGTATGTACCGATATTAACCCTTTCTGTCCCATGTCCCGAACCGAAGCATCCGGACCGAAATTCGGTCCAATATCGGGAAACCGTGACACCTCTAATTCGCCATAACTGCGAAATACCTTTACATATTTTTCGCCACCTCTTTCGAAAATTCGCGATTGGCGAATGGCGAACGTCTACCGTGATCTCTGCACATTAGATGGTCATTTAGACTGACTGACAGATGGAGGGCTTCACTATGTCCCTACTGAACTTTGTTCATATGGATAATGATGATACCTTCACTGTTGCATAACCATTGTGAGATAACTATGTGATAATCATTGTTCAATAAGTTTTATAATATGTCAAATTATAATAATAATATGTGTTATAATATGTCTACTTATTATAATATAT